AACTTTAACCGACATTTGCGTACGATATCTAGTAACGCCACCAAATCATTATGTTGCTCATCGCATATTATTTATCACCCTAGTCATCGATTCTTACATAAGAATCTTATCAGAAACGTTTAAGCCGCTTACCAGTGTCTTACATGATTCTTATCGGAGTCTTATCAGTTTCTTACATAAGATTGTTTAAGATTTCCCATCGACAGTCGTAAGTGTCTTATAAGAATCGTATAAGATTTTCATAAGAGGTTCGTAAGAAATTCATGAGAAGTACCAAAAATTCTTGTGAAGTTTTCCAGTCAATAGAAGCAACTTAATCATAACAAAAATCACCAAAACCAAGTCATAAGTTGCCTTCTAGTAAATAAGAATAGCATAGGAATTTTTGGTACTTCTTATGAATTTCTTACGAACCTCTTACGAAAATCTTATAAGACACTTACGACTGTCGATGGCAAATCTTAAACAATCTTATATAAGAAACTGATAAGATTCCGATAAGAATCTTACCAGTTTTATCAAAAAATTCTGTCTAGAGCTGTTATCGATCTATTTTTATTTTCAGTTTTCTATGTTATACTGTTATATATCTTTTATCAACAAGTTCAAGTCATTGTAGTTGTTTTTCATCGACCCTTTCTGATTTGTTCTTATGCATTTATCTATATAAGTAACACCGAAAATATAACTGAATTTTACTATGCCATCTTTCTTCACGACTTTGCAAGTAATTGACCTGAAAATGTTCAATAACTTTTATGAGAGTGTACACTGCAAGTCAATGTCCAGGAATAGCTAAAAATATAAAATTTCTTCTTCTTCTTTTAGGCCTGTTCGACTATAGTACTTAACAATACGGGTCAGTAGGCTCAAACTAGAACTCAGTTCTGGAAAAGAAATTTATTAGGATTTGAACAGCATATTGAGAAATTCTTAGTAAATCAAGAGTGAACGTTATTAAAAAACATAATAATTCCCAGTAAGACCTTATCAAAATTTTATGAAATCTTAGAATTTTCAGATCTCACGATCTTAGTAAGATTTGTCTACGGTCTCAGGCAAATGTCAGTGAAAGATCTTGATATGATTTGAGTAAGTTTCTCACTAGGGTATTGTTCTTCATCGTCAATTTCAGCAACAATCGAGTCATTTTTGACACAAGTAGTAACTCGATTATTTTTCACGATTAACTGTAAATAAAATATTTATTAAAATTTTCTGTATTTATTCTACTGATTACTGTGTGCAAGGTCTTGTTGATGAATGTTTTACGATATTAATCAATACGAGCAACAATTGCGTTTGTGTACTGGAATAGGAAAACATATTAGATTAGACTTTAGATATCATTAACCAATTGTCTGATGCTGTTTGCCGATATAGCATCATATTCGTACAAAATACCAACATCATCAAGTTTTTGCTACAGTTAGGGAATACATAAAAAATGGACGTAGACATATATATGAAATCCTATCATTGAGTTGGTATCTTGTGTTTTGTAATAATAATACGTTGAATAGTCAACAGTTCACCGGTATAACTATCTTTTTATTTTAGAATTCGTCGCTGTTAAAATAATAGTCAATTTGATAACAGTAGTTTTTATAAATAAGAATGTCGAAAACATTTTCTTGTACTCACCACATTAATTATGGGTAAAGATTCGTCACACACCAGCTCCTAATGATAACTACTGCATCATTGCTAATTCATTAGTACTAGTTGAGTGGACAAAGTCAGGCATAGTTAGACGATGCCATTAAAATGATTGACTCTTCTTTGTCAAAATTTTGGGTATGATCATTTCGCCAAACTTATCTTGGAAACATCACATAGAAGAAATAGTATTTAGATGTCGAAATATGTTAAAATCAACTAGTAGCGTTTTTGGACGAGCTCAATCTTCTCTTCGTTTGCATCTTTTCAAAGTTTGCGTTCGTCACATTTTCGAGTATGGTTGTATCGTGTATAACCGTTCCTTCAAGTCTCATCTTTCTATTGTTGACAGTCTCCAACGTTTTGCAGTAAGAAGCATACCTGAAAATTACTCCACTTCTTCGCCTCTTCTTGACAAATTTAAATTATTCCCTACGGCAACAATACGAAAATATTTTAAGCTGCTCCATTTTCATAAAATATTTTATAAAAACAGTATTCTTTCATCACATAATCATATTTTACGAGCCCTTTCTCGCCACTCTAAACGTTCCGACACGAAAACGGGATTGCCATATAAAATTGTAAAACAAGATAAGCGTCATCCTCATTCTTTTCATCAATAATAAATGAATGGAATGCATTGCCCTCTCTCCTAGTACATACAGCAAATAAGAACATGTTTAAAAAGTTGCTTGAAAGAGCACATCAACTTTTTTTGATTGTTGTTGGTATTATCATTATTTATTTATTTCCTTTTGTTTTTCTCTTCATTTGTGTTTATCTGTTTTCTCTCTTTTTTTGATGAACAGTCTCTCATTAAAACTTTTTCTTCTGCTTGTAACTATTTTCCAGACGATTCAACGTCTAGTCAAAATAGATGAAATGTCCAAATGTCCAGAACAAAGAATCAAAGTGCAATAGTTATCGTAGTGAATAATTGAAAAGAAACACAATCAGAACTGGTGAAAATGTTTTTTGAGCACGAATAAAAGACTCAACTTCTGTCAGCAGAACTAGGCCTGCAAAAGTTCAGCGTTCCTTGAACGTGAATGTTCTGATGGACGTGAGCTTTATTTTATATGAACGGTGTTGATCTTGTGTGGAATGAATAGTATTGCAAAACGTTATATAGCAATTTCACCTAGTATTATACCAAGTGAAACAGCTTTCTTCTTTACCAGTTATATTTGGTGAAAAATCAACACTCGTTTGTCCCAAATGGGTTACGCTAACAAAGGAAAACGTGTGTAGTTACTGAAATGGTTCGGAGCAAGAAACTTTGATTCCACTGCAGGGAAAACTGGTCTTCTGGTCACGAAATCGGCGATCTGTTCTTGGAAGAATCAATGGTTATTCTTTTTGCATTGCAATCACCGGTCACTGCTCTGAGCCGACCATTTGATCGTTCACTAGAGTTTCTGTTGATCAGATAAGACCAAGCAGAAATATATATGTTCTTACTACAGTGCAAGAACAGAATTTTACATTTACGTCAGACAATATGAACACCGTTCGTATAAGAAAGGCTCACGTTCCGTTCAAGAAACACGAACGTGCTTTAGCGTGCACGTTCAGGGAACGAAACGTGAACTTTGGCAGGTCTAAGCAGAACTATCAATACCTATGAATACGCGTTTATATTAAAGCACTATTAAAAAAACCTTTGTCGTTATAAAAAGTAGCCATAGGAACGACAAGCACGGGTAAAATAACAAAACAATTTTTCTTTATTCTTAGTTGATTTTTTTTCCTGAACATCGTCTTTGTTGCATCAAACCTATATGTGCCAGATAAAACGAAAACTATAATATCAAGCCCTGATTGCCGCTGATCTTGCAATAAAAAAATAAAAGACTTCACACAAGTTTCACATTTGAGTTTTTTTCCAGTTTGATAAAGATAGAAACACATGTGTGTAATGTTTTCAGAATTCAACAAAAATGGGACAAGACAAAACAAACGTCGGTTACTGTTAACGAGAATTGCTTCGACGCAAACTTATTGAATAATGAATGTTTTACTTTTCATATATTGAATTGAAAGGAGACGCGCGTACGCATCTCCTGCGGAATAAATTTTCCAGCCGAGTAAGCCTCAATTTGAGATCTTATCGCAAGTTTCAGATCCACCGATGTGCAATGGCAGGACCCTCGACCTGGGGGAAGAACATTGCTGATCGTTCTTTCCGCCTCTGGCAGGTAAGTATGCTTTAACATTTCTATACTAAGTATTTTTATATTGTGCATTAAAACAAAAATTATGTAGTACACAAAATGAGTCATCATCTTTTTCCTCTAGAGGATGAGTCATATGTAGAAGAAGAACATGCGATGACACATGAATATAGCGAGAGAATAGAAAGGAAAAAAGAGTTGTACAGAGAAAGCGAAAAAAAAAAAATTCCTTTCGACACACATATAGTTTCACCATTTTATTTTTCCGTTTAAGAATATATATAAATGACTTATAATACGTAATCGTGTTTCATACTTACTTTGCTTTGGAGCTTTCAGTGAACACCAAGACTGAACTCCCAGACGGAGGTCTGTACCATTGCACTTCGGTCAGACTGACGTTTGTGCTCGTCCACATAGGACGAGGCGAAAGCTCAATTTATTCCGCAGGGTCGGCGTTCGCGCTAACCCTATTCTACTAATAGAAAGATGTAAAGTTTTTTTATTATTAGGGACGTGCCAGAAAAAACATAAGTTATTGAGAAATATCATGAAGGTAGTCTACGACAACTTCAGATTCGATATTTCTCGCCGATTCGCATTACATGGGAAAAAGTATTGTTTTTTCGATTTCTTTTTAGTAGAGGACTAGCAAATAAGGGCATATCTTTCTGTTCTCTTTCTTTTCTATCGACACGTTGAGACGAAAAAATGTCGGCACATGAGATATCTTATGTGGAAAGAGATATCTCCCTATTTACTAGATTCCTAATATTAGATCGTGTTCAGACATATGAACAACGCTCATACATACATTAACTCAAAGAGTTGATCTCTTTTTTCTCACTGTTCATGTCAGTTGAATGAACTTAAAGCTTTTATTTCATATTCTAATAATTCTCATTTTAAATGTGGATAAAAACGTCATCACGCTTGACCGATGTCATGGTTGAACAGTTCTACTTTTTTCAAAAATACTAATCTTTGATAGTGTCTCGTCTAGTTCAAAAACGTTCTTTGCTTTAAAATATCACACACAACGTCTTACATTTTTGAACGATATTTTCGTGCATAAACAAAAAATTTTATAAACATTTTGATACATTCTCAAATATATTCAATGGTCTAAACAATACTGTCTAACTTAATTAATATCAATTAAAAATGTTTGTAACTGATAAATTTTACAACACACCTACAGCACCAAAGTTTGGTCGTTACCGCATCGGTTTAATATTTGGTATTCTATTATTTCTAATTGGTTTAGCTTCGCTGATATTTTCGATCATCGATTTGTTCCATGGAAAACCAAGTCAGTTGCACTATAATGAACTTAATGGAGGATTAAAAATTGAAAATCCTTTATGGCCATCATCTGGTAAGTTATAAAGACAGATAATTGATGTTACTTTACTTGTGTCATTAACTAGATCATAAAAATTACTATATTTTGTCTTTTCTACTTCTACGTTTAAGATGGCCGCTACACGGTATTGAGACACAAATGGTTTTCTATTTAGAAAATAGAAATCTTAAAGCAAGAATTTTCTTTCTAGTCTTTTTGCAAAAAAGCTTTTAATCAAGATAAGACTTTTGAAACTAAGTTTTGTATGAGCTGTGAATTAACAGTTATTACTTCTTAAGTCAAACATCGATAATATCTAAACTCCTCACGTTAATGCTATTTTTTCTTCACAATGAATAAAAAAACGCTATACCTCAACATGTTCACGTCAACACGCTCCTTTCAGACAATACAAAAATTAAAACTGGCATTAAACCCTTTTTTATTATAGGCAAAGGATTTTGGGTTGGTTTGATCTTAATGGCCACGGGTGTTATTGGTATATTGGCTTCTCATGAACGTACCGTCTCCTGTATCATTGCCTTTGCTATTTTGTCGACTGTATCAGCAATTCTCTCATTTTACATGATGATCACGTGTATCATTCCTGTACAATATGATGTAACAAGAACCAATTCCAAAACTCGTAGTGAAGCGGATCGAATTGAATTAATTATGAATTCATTGTTAATAGCTGCAGGCGTTCTTGGAAGCATTGTTGGAGGTTTAGCATCGATTTTCTCGTATAAATTTGCCGGATGGTGTTCAAATCAGCGTGTTATTGGTGGTTATGCTCAAATGCCCCAACAGGCAATGCCACCACGTTCACCGTATCTTCCTGGAAGCAGATATTATCCACCGCAGCAACATATGACATTTCCCCCGAATATGTAATTTATTTAAAAAGTACATTGACAAAATGTTGTTAATAAGTAAATTTATAATTAGCAATCGTTCTTATTCAATTTTTTTAACTGTAGTCCTACTTCTTGAAGTGTAATTGTTAAAAGACGTAAAGCTTTCTGAATATTAAAGAAAAATTATAATATCGTTATTATTCACAGTCGGAGATTTGGTTCATATAACAAAAAAGGTAATACGAAGTACTTGAATTATTTATGCCTCGCCTAAACGTAAGTAGCCGTGCTGTATCACAAATATTTGCCATGTATTGTGATACTGCTAGAATAGACATGGACAATGATAATGACATACTTAAACAAGTTGATTGTACAGCTAAAATATTGCCGCTGTACTTTGACAGTCACGAGAAGCTGGGCTTATATCAAATTTATTTTGTCAGACATCAGAAGGAATGGGACATAATTGGAGAATTTCCATTGCTAGACGAAGGTATTTGCTTCTATTAGAAGTAACACTGATGTGTCTTTATATTGTGAAGAATTATACTATGTTCGAACTATATATAAGAGAAAAAAGGATTGTGCTGGCAAATCAACTATTTTCTAGTCAATTTTCGCAACGAAGAATACGCATCAAAACTTTTCACTCCGATTTTTTCTACAGAAAACGTTTTAGTAGTACATCAAAGAAATTACAGTTTTTCTGTTAATTCTCGTTTGGATCACATGGAAAAGAAGCACTACTTTTTCGGCTAAAAGCATGGATGAAGAATGAGCGGGAATTGTCTTGTGTCTGTCGTTATTGGTGTATGGTACTGACAAAGATCAACTTCTATCTTCTCTACAGTTAATAAGCTTGACCCATATCGTTACTAATTGTCAACTGCAGCTCTGGTCAGAAGGCTTACATAGCTTGATAACGTCGAGGTTCAACTACAGTATCCCTGAAGCACGTGACGAACAACATAACTACCGAACCATGCTGGCAGAAAGAATAGTTGATACAATTTGTGGGACATCAGATGCATCTGGGATCGGGCGAACTCATTACACTGAGTACCTTCAACTCTTGCATTAACATGCGACACTAATTTAAAATATAATTATAATAAAATAAGTTTACTATCGGTCTTAAATATCTAAAATTCACGTTTTAATTTTTCTCTCTCTAAAAGATCTTTTAGCGCGTATCGAAACTGTCTTGTTATATGCAGTTCGACGTGTGAGGTTAAATGCAAAAAGAAGAATTTCTTTAGTTTTATACATTTTAAGTTATCAAATAATCATCTTCTTTCAATTGATGATGATGATGATGATGAACAGACGGTTTATCTGTAGAACTTGAAAAAAATGTATACTATTAATAAATACCACCCTCATCACAATCAAAATTTAAACAACCGGCTCGTGCACGGCGAACACATTGTAGAAGAAGATAATGATGAAGATTGTTCCTGCAGTAGTTCTGATTGTTCAAGCTGTGATGCTGAAGTGGGCTATGATTATAATGACTACTATGAGAATGATCGAGTGGATTATCAAAAAGATTGGACGAATGACGTAGAAAATAATCAAATTAAGGAGAGTAGGTGAGATATATAAACGAATTCTTAATCGATAGAGACATACGTCGTTAAAATTTCAAGAAAACAAAGCCAATGCTAGTTGAAACTTGATACTGTGGAAATTAAATGTTCAGTTTATTGAACATATAAATTGACTGGTAAAAGCAGTAGTTTACTTAAAATAAAGATATTATAACCTTGGACGTCACAGAGCTCGTAGTTTAGTTGTTTTAGTGCCGCTACTGATCATATTCTGATATCTCAAAGTTGGAATCGTCCATCTGTTAACGATCGGCAGTCAATCGATGATGCACTACCTCATCTCATTCAAAAACATCAACAACTTTTCTTCGAACAACAACAACCATCAAATCCAAACACAATTGATGATATCGGTATCCAGGTTGAAAAACAAGATGAAGTACAAAGAGCCTCAACCTTACCGAATGAACGCTCATCACCAACGAGAAATAAAAGTGATGCAAATAATAAACATCCAACGAACGAACAACTTTATTCAACATCATATAATAGAAAAACTAATCAAAGTACTGATACTCAAATATCAATTAAATTCATTGATTTACATGCAGTGTACGAGATCATTGATCAGTCATATTCAAAAGTGAGAAATTGGTATTTACTCATTTCACAGACGAAATTAGATCTGGATTTTATCATGTCTGTCAACGATTATTTGGATCGATTAAAGGCATCGGTATATAAAGATTTAATTCGGAAAGAAACATTACATCGAAATGGAAACAATCATTCGAAAGGTATGGACGAGATTTATATTAGTTCAACATCTTCTAAGCGGAGTTAGTCTTTCTATAACATTCGAAACACTCGTTTCAGCTCTGGTTGCTTTATTGCGCTGTATGTGTAAAATATCCTATGAACAAGCTCTTGAAGTTACATCGGATTTGACTGCAAGTAAACGTGCTGTGTTGTACACAATGACAGCTATTGAACATATCTTACAAGAAAATTTTCCGGCCAAAAAACCATTACTTAATTACATCCTAAACGAATATATCAGTATGTATATTAGGGTGCATATAAACACCAACTACGTTTGCGGTACTTCGTATCTCTAGGTATGTGGTTACATGAAAATTTACGTGTTATTCAAGAAGATTTTACTGTAATAGCTGAGAATGCCACCAAGAATAACTTTCTCTCATTGTGTATCTGTCTATTTCATAAACTTGACTCATGTTGTCATCTCAATTGGCAACGTTTACAAATGATGCAAAATTTTCGCCTAATTAACTTTCAAAATCTTATGAAACCACTAGGTGTGAAACTCGATCAACAACCCGAATTCCTTTCACAATTAGGTGGAATACAAGAACATACAATGAAATACTCAGATATACCACAAACACAATTGTACATCTATCGAACTGAACAAGAAATAATAAGTTTAAATGATATTCAGCAAACATTTCGAAAATGTGTGGCCAAAGGTATTCTCGATGATGTGAGATACACACGATCACAAGAAATAATCGAACTATCAACATCAAAAGTAACAGAAGAAAATATTTTCTTTTTTCCGTAACGCACGGTAAAAAAAGCGACTTATTTAAGATCTTGAAGTTGGAGGGAAAAAACACACTGCAAACGTCTCACTTTAAGATACTTTTCAAACGTCTTCTTTTTCTACTTTTTTTGCCAAACGATTCGGCTAGGTATGCATCGGTATACCGAATACCGAAAATACCGACTTTTTTAGGATTTTTTCATTTGAAATGAGATATTTTAGCATCCTGACAGGTAGAATGCATCAAAAAACACAGCTTTGTGTGCTGAGCATACGCAGATAGAAAAAAAAGAAAAATTTTGACTTTAGAAAGCAAACAAAGCTCTTGTTTTGAGTCCATGATTCTTTCTGGGTGCCCAGGACGCTAAAATATCTCAAAACTCCAAAAAAACTCCGAGTAGGAAAAAATCGATATTTTCTGTATCGGTATTTTGGTATGGATACCGATACCGGTGCATACCTAGATTCGGCCCGTATGACGTCATCGCTATCTAAAATACACGATGGGCTAAGCTAAAGTCACATATTTTCAAAAGACTAATAGTATTTTATTTTTCTACGGGTGAGAACAGTCTCGACTATTCATTTCAATAACAGAAACAAAAGTTACGGAGAACTGTGCATCACAACTAAGCTGATTATTAGCAACTGTACCTTTTTTTGAACATGTGAATATTTTTCGTTAGAACGAACTTCGTTTAAAAGATCAGCATTTGATAAAAGATATGTATGAAAATCTTTATAAGTCATTTTTTTTCAATCAGGTTTTATCGACAAATTTATATCATATATCTGATGAGCGACGATGTTTGTTGATGACTCAAATCTAAAAATAACTCCGTTCGCTGCAAACTGTCCGAACACCTATATATATGATACTGATCTTTATGCATGTTTTGAATCCGACTTTTTTCGAAAAACACCTTAGGAACATCTTCACCAACAAACTATGAATTAAAATAGACGGTTTACGCACTGTAATTTTGTGTTTTTTAGCGGGTTTCTGAAGAAGTTCTAGCAATCGACACTTTATCACAGATGTCCGTCAGACCACCATCAATCAAGACTGATATTGTCCCCCATATTCTGATGCATCCAACCGAAGTTGCTCAGCAAATGACAATACAACGAACATCCACATTGCCTCTCAAGAGTAACGATGACGTACAGCGAAAACTTCGACTAACACCAAAAGGATCCGTATCGGAAAAAAATCATGGAATAGAATCGGAAACGTTGAAACAAGAGTTGACTGAACCTGATACTAATGTGGAAAAATTAGTTACTAAAAATCTGAACACATTCCTCTTCTCATCTCAAACACCTTTTCAAAGTGTTCAACAACAAATTGAAACTAAACAGCCATCACTGGAAGTAGCTGATTTAGAATCACCGCAAAAACAATTCACGTTTGATACTGAAAATTCGCTGCCACAACAACAGCAGACGAAAACACTAGCACCACGAAGTACTTCCAAAAAAGACAAATCAGGATCTAGAACAAGTAAGAGAACTGCAACCTCACAGATAAACTGACTATGTGCCCTAGTTCTATATATTCATATCTTTCAAATTCAACATTCTACTCAAAAACTGGCACAAAACAACGTTAGTCGGCATCTCATAAACCTCCGATTGAGATTCCACGTATCTCATTCGACTTTTCGGATAAATAAAATCGGATCATGGCTCTTACTCTTTTTGGGTACGTTTTGTTTAAAAATTAGATTTTTCTCTCGTGTTTATTTGTCACATTTATGAAATGTCTTTACTGGCTTCCTAAAAATCTTCTGTATTAGCCAGTAGCCATAACGATTAGTCCACAGACTATACAACTTATGCGAAAGTTATATACATTCCTATAGTTATATTTTCGCGTAGAAGAAAACAGTTTATCATGAGTTGAAGCAGATTACAGCAATCTACCAAATGATATTCTTGAACCCACAAAAAAAAGTATTTTATTTTGACCGTGGCCTTTAATTTGCGATAAGATTTCCAGAAAGATGTAGCTCGATTACACAAAAAATCATTTTATAACAAAGTTTTATTTCCGAGAACTGTGAGGATGGTCAATCACCTACTGTCAGCGGATTCAGCGAACGTTACTTATGTTATCTCTAAAGTGAAAATAAATGGAAACAAATCTATTTTGTCCTATTCCCTATCTGTCTTTGTCGTAAGTAACAGTGCTATAAGCCAAGTAGCACAAGTTTTTTTCGATTTCAACAGCTTTTTCGATAAAAAATTGTGTTATTTACAAAATGTTGATATAAAAGGTGTCTCGTCAGCAGCAGCACAAGTCGAATAAGATGCTTAGAAGCTCAATCGGAGACCTAGATGTTAGCTGATTTGTCACATACAGTACGAAAAGATCTATTTATGGAGTGTCTCTTAAAATACAGGTCAGTCAATGTATTTACCAGTCACCGATGAACGTAATCAATATCGTCTAACGTTTGGCGAAATGCTTCCTAACCGTAACACGTATCCCACAAATGAAATTATATGTTGGCAACCTAGCGTTCCTCCACCAGCACGTATGGCATCGTCCCAAGAGCAACTGAAACTTATACAAACATCTCCGAAAAAACAACAGCTGAGCGGCGAAGATACAGCAAGATTAACAGTACTGAATGAAAAGCTAATTAAAGAGTCACTTGCATTACAACAACATCAGTTGGGAACAGTAGTAAACGGAGAAAAAGATAAATTTGACGTTGACCTTATGAGTTACGATAATCTAGGAGAACTAACGAGATTGAGTGGAAGTTTTATTAAGGTGCATTTAGCGCAGCAACTACAAGAAATGCGAAAGAATAAAGAGAACTTACCATTGAGGTATTATAGAATAAACGACAAATGGATCTCTGAGGGCATCATTTTTGTACTAATTTTTTTGAGAGCTTCTCCCCTAGCAGTCTTCGTACCACCTGAAGAACAGCTTGAAATATTGATCAAATTACAACCAGAGCAAATGACCGCAGAAGATATGAATCGCTTAATTCTGATGAATGATAAATTACTCAAATCATACTTATTACTACAACAGCAAGAACAAGCGCAAATCAAGCTTTCCACACTAAAAACATCGTCATTAGCTGTTGTTGATAATGCACAGTTAAAAAAGCTGAAAAACTCTACACTACAATCTTCATCAAGGAGTGAAGGTCGTGAAGCAATATTAAACGAACTAATACTGTTAACACATATTAATGACTTAGATAATCGATCAAGTTTAGTTGACGAAATTATGATTAGGAAATATTTGAATAAAGAAAAACAAGAGGATGTAAGAATCGAAGAACATTGACGTGTATGTTAGGCGAGTCGTCATTACATCTTTACTTTGTAGTTTCAGTTTTGTTTCTCCGTTAGTCTGAATTAAAAATTAAAGAACTACATTTATTCTGAAAGAAGCACTTACAGTCAGTTAATAGACAAAACGCTATAGATAAAATGATAAAAGGCGTCACCACTTTTCGTGACATCTTATTAAATGTGAAAATATTTGAAAGTTAGTATAATAAGCTAGAAATATTTGTGTTATGAGTAATGAAAACTACTACATCTGGTTATTGAACTGTTTAACGACGTGACTCAGCCTTTATCAAAAATCCTACTGTATACCCAGTTGATTTTTTCTAGAGTTTTGAATGTCAGAGAAGTCTTTCAAGTCTCTCAACTCGTTCGACACAAACAACAAGTTCAGCACGAGAGAAACAACTTGAACTTGACCGCAATTTATCATCACTTTCAAAAATGAGTAAACCAGATACGGGTAGACTATCAACACTCAGTGAAATTACGAAGAGAGAAAATCTCACACAACAACAGATGAGAGCGAGAAAATCCTCTTCATCTCTATTCCTTCCTTTTCTCGGAAGAGATAAGCAGTTGAACATGTTGAATAATCCTCCAATGAAAATGAATGAAGACGATATTATAAAACTAACAGGGCTTAACGACGATCGAATTAAAGAACAGTTGATACGTGAAGAACATTATAGACAACTTCATCTACAAGAATTCAAATCTGAAATAGAGCGACAATTACAGCAGAAACAAGATTCAGACAACAGATCAATAATGGGTAAAAGGAAATGTTACAATTTACTGACGTAACGCAAATTTTTCTAAATAAAAGACGTTTGTTTCTTTAGAAGAACAAGATACCTCGTCAACGATTCAAGTTGATAGCGAAAATAAACCAAATATAAGTCAAATATCGATAACCACACAATTCGTTAAGCCAGCTCCATCTGCTCCTACGACAGAAGTAAAATTGTTGCAAGAAAAACAACATACATCTATTGATACGAATAAAACATTGGTCCAAGACAATATTATTCACGAGAAACCGTTTTCAGAAACATCTCTGTCGACGAAAAGTAAAGGAATGAGTGATAGATGCAGCAAGTCGATCAGAGGATCATCAGATAGCGATGAACGAACAACAAGAGACTTGAAAAGAACACTTTCACCAAAACAAAATTCAGGGAAGCCTCTCCAATCAGCAACAACAAGTTCAACATTGAATTTAGAACTGGTAGGAGCACAACCCTTTTTTCCGTGTTGAGCCCCGTTTCGATCATAATTTCTTCTACATTCAGAATGCATTAATTGATTTTTTGAAAAATTTAATGCAGCAACAAATATCTCATCGGTGGCAACAATCACAACAAATGAGAGATCCACGACGAATACCCCAGAGTACTTTAGTAAATTTAATCAAATTTTGGAACAGATATGTTGATATATTTGTGTGTTCGTGCTATTTAGCTTGAACGTTGTCTAACAGGCGAGACAGGTCAATTGAAAGATTTATATCATGATCTAAATTCGTTGGACGTCAACGACCCAACATTCATCGCCGCATTTACTCGCGCACTACGAAAAGAACTTGAAGATGCACATTTAATGACCAACTATGATAGAAGTGAATATGGTGTAATTGCTGAGTCTCGAATAGGCAAATTGCCATTTGAAACACAGACAGCGCTGAAACTATCCACAAATGTTACTGCATTCACGTGCCAAGACGAAAAGATTGTTTATGATGGTAAGATTGATTATGACTGTGTCATTGTCGAAGTGATACATGATCCGTCCAGGTGTTTACCAAATCCAGATTATTGTCATCCGAGTAAGCGAAAAAAAATCATGTCAATTCACCAGACGTAAAACGTTTTATATCAATATTTTAGATCATTCCGTAGTGATGATGAGTGTCAGTAGCATATTCATTATACGCTCATGAGTCAAATGATAATCGTTTGTATTGGCTTCGTCAACATGATTGTCCGTCGTGTAAAGATTGTATTAGTACCACTGATTCTCTGTTTTGTACGAGACAACAATCAGGCGGCGATAGACAAACATTTTCTATCATCGTTGAACATAGTAATGAATTCAAATAAATTCTACGCTCAAGACTGCATATATAATTCTATAATTGTGCAAAGATTTCAGATACTTTTATACATAACTATTCAAGTTTTTCAAGCCGAAGTAATCTACCATTAATTGTCTCCTTTCAGATCGAATAAATTATCCTCATTCATGTACTATCAGTTAATGCATTATTACTCGGAAACAAATACTTAATTGTCATCTTATTTTTGTTCTCAAAACTGCATTGATTGGTTTAGTTAAACTCTTACTGGAATACTGACACATATATTTCTTCAACAACGTAATCTTCTTGATCATATGATTTTCGACATTTTTCAAGGGAAAAAAAGCGTTTTTGGAATGGTAGAATGGGGTGGACTGGGTTGGAATGCACTAGAATGGGCCGGAATAGACCACATTGATGCTGAGGGAGAATTTCTATTTTTCTGTAGGTATCCTTAAGGTCCTTGTCCGCTGCTTCCTTCAGAGGGCGTTTTTTGACAATTTTTTCGATTTTCCATTTCCGACGGATTGATGTCAAGCGGGAAAAGCGCATTTCGCCACTCCGTGGAGTGCCGAAGCGCTCGAAGTGTCGTGGGCTTAAGGAAACTTTATTGAACTGAACTGTCCTAGAAATGTCTCACAAGCAGAACAAAAAGGTTCTGTCTGTGTGAAAAGAATTCACAGAATTGAATACAATTGCTCCATTATCAGGGAAATATTCCCAACTAAAGAACATGATTGTTCCGTTTTGGAAACACGATTGTTCTATTTCTGGGAAGAATATTGAGAGAAGTATCACTGTTTTATTCTAAAAGAAAACAACACACTTCGCCACTTTGGACCATCGTACGGAGTGCCGGAGTTAATTACAATATTTCCGAAAGCCCTCTGCTCAAAAGCCTAGTTTTCCAGAAGTCTATTATGAAAGTAAAAACCAAAGCAGATTGCTATCGCCACTAGAATCAGCATGTCTGAAAGCCTCCAGGCTCTGAGATTCAGCCTGAAATCTTCATTTCAGTAGACTATATCCCAATTTTTCTTGTATAGGAAAGACGCTCATTGAAGCAGCTACTCTTGCACAGATAAATTATGTGGACAAACACATTGTTTCTCAAAATACACACTCGATAGTATGTATATAAGTCTGTCAAAAATGGAGAACGGAAAAAATTGTCCAAAATGGTTTAGAATGGGACGGAATGGCTCATTCCAGCCCATTCCGCTTTTTCCTCCTTGCATTTTTCATATGCAGACATATGACTTTTCAAGTAAAAATAGGGTTATATTTTAATTATAGACGGAATAAGAACAGTAAAATCAATAGCAAGATGAGGATTCTTTTATAATGACCATTCTAGATATCGAAAGACTTTTAGTAAAAACGAAATTTCATCATAGGCCGAAAAGTAATGATAATATTTAATCTGAAACAACAATTTGCAAAATCTTTCATGATAGTAGTCATTAGTATATGCAAGTGATCCTGATAAAAATAGTACCGTTCGAATGAAGTAAATGATCCCAAGCGTTTCTTTTCTTAGCCTTGATGAATCACTTTCGGACTTTTCGCATATATTCAACAACGTTAGACTTATAATCGCTGCAAGTACGACTTTTCGATGTTTAACCGTGAACGAATTATAAGCAAAACGTTCATGTTTGACCGTTATTCTGATGTTGTTTTCCTGGTGATTCAAATACGTTTGGTTTTGTAAATGTATTTTTTTTTCTCTCTTTCTTATAGTATTTTCTTCGCTCTACTCAACTACATCATTACCTTTGTTACCGATTGTTCTATTTTTCACAAATTTGTTCCGAATTTGTGATCCCAAAAAAATTCTTTTTTCCGTCCCGTAACCACATGGTCTGTAATAGCTCTTGTAAGTTATTCAATTTGCTTTCTTTATATGCCAAAAGTTGACTAAATATATAGAATAGACAACAGCGAAGATCCGACGTTTCTATCACTTTTCACTACCAAGTAATTCCCATTTTACTGAAGTTATGTGAGGTTTGACTGACAATTTGTCCCGTAACCACCTACTATGACACGCCTCAACCGGGCTTGATAGAAAGTTTCTTTTTTTACCATAAGTGTTGTCTACTCACACGATGATCCTGTATAAATAGCAAAGACTAAGATTGCTTTATAAGGGATAAAGGTAGAAAATTCAAAGAAATGTCCCGTAACCGCCTTTGTCCCGTAACCGTTTTTTTTCTGTTTCTTCTGTAACTTTAACATACCACGCGCGGATAAAGTCAGATTTCTAGTGTAGAGATTTCGAAACATGTTGAATTTAATGAAATACATAAATAGCATTTAGACCGACCAAAAGATGGTTTTCTAGAGGACGGGATTCTCTACAAACCTGTTTCTTCTCTTTCACTGTTATCGAAAAACCCAGTGCGCTCGATCGTTTTTTAAATAAGTCGAGCACAAAAAGAGCTAGAGAGCTCGGGTCTTCACCATTGGAAAGAAAAGACCTGAGTGCACTTTTCTAAACAGAAAGGATTTCAAAAATCTTTTTCGAAAGTAGGCTTTTTAAGAGATCTTTGAAAAATCAGGCCATAGCTCAAGAACTTCAAGTGCTACTATCCATTTCAAAATATAGTGTGGGTGATTGCGACATGAATAACTTGAGAACGGAACAAGCTATCGAGATCGGATCTTCTCCAATGTGTAGCCAAGATCGGGACACGCAATAATATGCAGAAATCCAAATTTTTTGCGCTGATCTGTGGAGGATTTCTAAGTGAATCTCTGGAAAACCAGTTTATAGCTCCAAAGTTTTACATAGGAATCTATCAGATTTTTTTTCATATATGGATAGTCAAAGGTGTTCTCTACAAAATCAGATCCAAGCGACATCTTGAAAATTCATGGTTCGGGAGCTACGGGCATTTTCCTCGAACCCTTAGGACTCCTCTGCCGTTAGCTTTGAGACTGTCAGAAATGAATGAAAACATAGGTTACCGACTAGACTGAATCTCGTGGCAATATTTGTTTTTCTAAACAGTTTCAGAAACTTAGTGAAAACGTACATTAGGTGAAATATCCTATTTCTGCCTATTTTTGAGTAAAATTCAAAATTCATAACTCAGTCAAGATCAATCCAAGTTATGTCAGAATATCAAACTCTATTTTACCTGCTCCAAACGATTTTTTACTTGAGAATAGTAAAAACATTCTTGTACTTCGGAAGACTTCTAGAAAATTCTTTCAAAAACCGGAGTATTTTCTGTCGACTTTTAACGCTTCTGTTAAACTGCATAGTATTGAGCAGATAAAATAGAGTACAGCTTGATATTCTGACATAACTTGGATTGATCTTGACTGAGTTATGAATTTTTGAATTTTACTCAAAAATAAGCAGAAATGGGATATTTCACCTAATGTAGGTTTTCACTAAATTTTTGAAACTGTTTAGAAAAAAAATATTACCACAAAACTCAGCATGGTCGATTACCCATAGCGCATACGTCTTTAAGGCTACCAATAGTCACCGGGTGCCAGTACTGGGACTCGTAGAAAATCTGATACAACGCCCGAACTGCGGAAAATTAAGGTCTCACTTTACCCCCATTTTGAAGAGGACACCCCAGGCTATCAGTCCATGAGAAAAAAGCAATACAATCCTATTGGAAAATGTTTACAGATGGCATAGTTTTCCAAAGATCTCTTAGAAAACCTGTTTCAGAAAACTGTTATGAAAACAGTTTTGGTTATGGAAATATGCCCCCAAGTTTTCTCTTCCCACTGGTGAAAATCGAAGCTCTCTAGCTCTTTTCTATCAAAAGATATTCAAAACACAACCAAGTGCACGGTATTTTGACGCCGATACACCTGTCCATTGTTAAACCTGTCACCATCATGATTTGGGTAGCCATTGCTTTGATCTATCATTTATGTCGCAAAAAGCAAAGGCATAGTGAATTAATTAATGGAAACTTTAACAACTCAGCTACTCAAAAAAGTATTATTATTATTATTTAAATGAAGATTATTATAGTGCTCTTGTTTCGGTAGTTCACCCATTTAGATTTCACGAAACTTAATCTTCTAGTAATCTAGTCTCTTAAACGTTTCTTCTGCAACAACACTCGTGAAAATAGCAAATAATGGATGCATTTCAATTCAATTCTGAACGATTAATTCACATTTTTCTTGCAAGCTCAATCTTCTCTACAATTACAAGTAGTTATCATTTATTCTAAAATAAACATAGTAACAAACTACTAATTCAGGAAAAATACTTGTACTCGAAACACTTTAGAAAAGTATATAATAATAGGCACTCACAAAGAAGAGAATATAAAACTAAAATACATACAAATACTAGCTAAAAAGTAGAAAATACAAAATGGTACAAAAAAAATTTTCTATTGCTGAATGAGAATATTTGTATAAAAATGCTTTACAAAATGAGATAATATAAGGAGATGAATGATATATGAGATTATATTGTGTATGAGAAAATCCACTGCAGTTATGGATTTTTAGTAAATAATTGTGTTTTAGCAGTCTGGAAGTCACGTTTAATCGAATCAATCATTGTTTGAAATCTAAAGCAAAACTAAATTCATTTATTCACCATCATTTAGCATGACTACTATTTGTCTGGCACACGGTTTTCTCGTCGATTGTCAACTCAATGTTCGCGAAATTTCAAATCTATCGAATTTTAAACTTTTTAACCTAATAGTTGTGGAAACAAGCAGAGATAGTTGATAAATTATACTTTTAATGGTTCTTACAGACAACGACGTAGCCAGGACTTTTAGGAGAGGTGGGTACAAAAACATTTCTGATTTCCTAACATGGTTTTTTTCCCGTTTTGAAGCACTGCTGTCGTCACCTAGTGAATTTGCCCTTTTCCTGAGCACATTTCAATTTTTTCTACGGGTTAAGAATAAGAGAAATACACGCTTAAAGCACATGCTAAGCAGCTGATACATTATGATGAAAAAGAAATTTTTTTTCCTTAACACATATAGATAAGAGGGAATCGATCAATTATGACTATCAGTACACATCAGAAAATACAGAACGAACAAGAGAAATGGTTTTTTTTTCATGCTGCTTTACTTTCTATTCTAACTAAAAACAAAAAAAATTAAAACCCTGGAGGAAATAAAACTCCAAGGTGTAGGCTCAGGCCCACCCTGGCCCATGGCTGGCTATGTCTCTGCTTACAGACAATGTGCGAGTATGAAAGATTTGAATACACACATTTATAACCGTAGATAATGTATGCTTAGTACTTTAGAAATTAACATCGATCCAGTAGATATGATTGGTACAAGTACTTGATTACCTGATGAGTACTTGGGAAGTACGTGACCAGTTAAGCACCTGACAAGTACTTAGTAACTTGGTAGCCATGCATGTATTTGCTTTACAAAATTAGAGTATAGCTCCAGAATATGTATAAAATACAAAATAAGAATAAACGGAACTGGAGTTTTTCAAGTAAACTTGATTATCAAACTTGCATTGTATCAGCCAAGTACTTACATTTTACTTGGCAAGTACTTGACAGGTAAATTTATCTGGAAAAGTCCACAAGTACTATCCTCAATACTTAACCCAAGTACTTGCCTCAAGTACATTCACTAAAGACAAGATATCAAATGACTACTCTTAAGTTACTTTAAGTTAACAACATTGTTGACGACAAAAACATGCGACATACATAACGCAATCAATCGATCCATCAATAAAAAGCTAGTGCACTATACGTTTATCAATGTGTACGAAACATTCTACTGCAAAATTTAGCAAAAAAAATTAGAAATGCAATTAAGCAAGGAACATTACGTATTGTTATTACTTTAGTAATTGCCTGAAAAGAATGATGTTTTGGTTAGTAATTTTAGTAGATTAAAATAAACAACTACTTAGAGAAACTTACTGTCGATAACGATCATTAATACGATCCTTTTCATCCTAAATAAAATATCGACACTTGTGTGGTTATTATAGTTCAATTACAGTAAGCAAAATGTTTCATACTTCGGTTAATGCTCGCCGTTTTTCATATTCTATTTGCATTTCAACGGTTTGTAATTGTCTAGCTCGTTCAATTTCTTTAAAAGAATGTCCTTCAACACCATGAGATAAATCAGCTAACCGGGTCTAGGAAATAAAAACACAACCAGAAAGCGTACACTTCTTTGAAATACTATACGGTATTTACTTGTAAATGTTTCATTTTATCTGAATTGTCTCTTTCCACGTCAAATAGATCTAGAAGGAAAAAAGTCAAGATGTATAAAAATTAAAATAACTATGAAATATTTAATAAGACCTTCAAAACGAAGAAAAAATACATACTAAATTTTTCTTTAGACATTTCGTCTAATAAAACTTCTTTTTTGGCTAATTCAGTAGCGAAATATTTTCTATCAGTATCACTATCTAATAGTGCACTATTTAAATCTTGTCGTAATTTTGATTCTCGTTGACGTCTTGCATCAAGTTCTTGTTTTAACCACGCTAATTTTCCCTATCAGAAAAATTCAATTCTATTAAATATCAATAAGATAAACGTTCGTCTTACTTTAATTTTACTTAACCACGTATCAACATCATTCGTAAGTGAAGTATCAAAAACAATAAATGGTACATCAGAATCGCTGGACAATGATTCCGTACAATAGGTTAAATCATTAAATACCGTATGAAGAGCGTTCTAGTAATATGAAAATGTAGTTTGATAAATTTCATTTTTACAACAATTATCTATTTACCTGATAATCCTTTTCTTTTTTCAAAAATTGATTTTTTTGATTTGATGATTCAACATTGAGTTTATTCAATCTAAAACTAAATATTATAAAACTAACATATTCTTTCTATTAAATATTACCTTGATTCATTATCTTCGAATATGCGCATCTAAAATAAATAATGATTATCTAAACTTAAAACTACTATTTATAAATGTGCTCTACTTTTTCTGCAAAATCTCTGGTAATTGTTTCATATTTATATTTCATTTTGTTAAAATCATCTTCCAAATGTGATGATTTTTCTTGTAAATGTTCAATTTCTTTTTTGTGCTCATTTTCATGACGTTGAAATATTTGAATACGAGCTTTCTCATCGCTTAATTGAAGCTAAATATAAATGATGAATTTACAACATTTTCTTCTATATAAATCTTTTTATACAAACTTTAAGTGTTTCAATTTTATTTTCATAATCCATTTGTAACGTTTTCATGCCACGAGTATATTCAGTTTTAGTCAAATCCAATTTATGCTGTACATAAATTTTAACAATGCTAGATTATAAAAATAAATTTTTATTAACATTACATACCCTCATTTCTTCATAATCACTTTCTAATGTCACAAATTTAGATTGTAAATTGCTTTTCTCCTAAAAAATATATATTGTTTAGTGCAAACATTTATTGATTTAGAAAATAGAATAAAATCATTATTTCATACTCACATCATTGTACGCTTTGTTGGTGGCGAGAAATTGAACGGAATAGGAATCGCGTTCCAATTCAGTTTCTTTCAATTTCTGAATTAATTCCTACAAAAAAAACAAAAATTTGAATTAATTATAAATATTTAATTTTCTAATAAAATAAACATAATCTACCATTCGTTCGTTGTCAATTTCAATAATATGAGTTTGTAATTGTCCACGAGAAACATTTATTGTTTCAATATCACTCTAAAAGTAGTTCTCTTAATCTTAAATCAAAGTATAATAAAAATTCATTAGATTCTACAAACTTCAATTTGTTTTGATTTTGTCTCAAATTGTTTTTTTTGTCGAATTTCATCTTGTAACATTTGTTGAATCGTATGTTTTTCTTGTTCTATATGCTCAATTTGTTGACGATTTATTGCTAATTGACTCTCAAGCTAAAAGAAAAATTACTCTATGAAACATATTTCGGTATCGTGTACTCCGATGGATATATACTTCATTAATTGCTCCTTTCAATGCAGAGATTTCTGTTTCTTGAGATGTACGAACTGTTCGAACTTGGAAAAGCTAAATTGAAAAACTTATAATTAACTTAATTTCAATTTTGAAATATAAAAATTTGACTTACATCATTTTCATTCCGTTTAAAGTGTTCTTCTAAACGATTTCTTGTCATCTTTTAAGTAGAAAATCATATTTAGTTTCAATTAACGTTAACTAATAGATATATACAGACCTGTGAATCGTTAAGTTCTGCTTCTATTTTTGTTATTTGTCCTTTTAATGTTAAATTTTGAGCTTTTATCGTTTCCATATCTTTTACTAATTGTTCGTTACGTTCCAGCATCTGAGTTGAACCAAATTTATGACGATCAACATCTTTTTCTAATTTTTTTACTCGAGCTTTCCATCTGAAGAAGTTATAAGAACGTAATCTCTATATTAGTTATATAATTAATATAAATGAAATTTTTCTTTACTGTTTAATCGTTTCTTGTGCTTGTATTTTAAATTCTTCTCGCTTTTGTTCTAAATCTGCAATATGTTTTTGATTTAATTGTAATTCTTGTGCATATTTTTCTGCTTCTTGTGTTATTTCTTCTAATTTTTCTAGAGCCATTGATAGATCTTGTTGTAATTTTATATTTTGTCTCTCATATGTATCACAATTTTCACGTAATTCTTTCAGCTCTATATAGGCTTTTGCCGCTAATTTTTCCTTTTCATCACATTTTTTCATCAAACTCTATAAAAGAAAATAACATGCAGACTATGTGTCAAGTCGACTTAGAAGCAAAAACTTCAGATATTTTAATTGTAACAGCACCTACTTTAAATCTTATTTAGTTTAAAAAATTTTATTTATTTATTTCGACCATAGAGTCAGATAAAGTTCTAGGTCGACTAGTCGTATTTAAAACTTCGATTGGTAGCACTGTCCTGAGACAGCGGCTAAACAGCAGCATACAACCAAAGCTAGGAAAAATGACACTTAAGGCAAATTTGAACCTAGTACTAGGGCTGTGACAGTTACCAGTTACCGTTACCATCGTTGTCCGTTACTAGAGGTAACGGTAACTGATATAAAATTAATAAGCGTCGTTCCTCGTTACTGGAGGGTACAGGATTTCTTACTGTATATCAATTACCATTACCTCTACTAACGAGGAACGATGCTTATTAGTTTTATGTCAATTATCGTTACCGTTAGTAACGGGGAACGATGGTAACGGTAACTAGTAACTGTCCCAGCCCTACCTGGTACCTGTTAATCACAAGGAACGATATGTCACGTAAGACATCATCGTAAGGATTCATCAGATCGTATAAGATTATGGGCCTGATCGTGTTCTATAAATTTCCTCTAGACCCTCTTAAAAAAAGTATCTTTCTCTCCCACCCAGGTGATTGAATCGTACTATCCGATCGTACAAGATCGTATACGAATCGTACGAAATCATATGCGATTATGTACGATCTACATACGAATCGTGGTACCTGATTTGTCGTCTGGCTCGTATTGTACGATTTCATACGAAATTGTATGATCGTATATGATCTTGTACGATCGTATTATACGATTCAGAGGACAAATCAGATACCACGATTCATATATGATTTTCATACGATTTGGTACGATTTTGTCTGATTCAGATACGATCTTAGTACGATTCTTCGACCTGGGCAGGTGATAGAATCGTACTATCCGATCGCACAAGATCGTATACGAATCGTACGAAATCATATGCGATTATGTACAATTTACATACGAATCGTGGTGTCTGATTTGTCTTCTGGTTCGTACCATACGATTTCATACGAAATTGTATGATCGTATATGATCTACTACGATCGTATTATACGATCCAGAGGACAAATCAGATACCACGATTCATATATGATTTACATACGATTTGGTACGATTTTGTCTGATTTAGATACGATCGTATACGATTTGTTTGACCTGGGCTATTTATAATATTTTCTGCCATACCCAGGTCGAAGAATCGTACTAAGATCGTATCTGAATCAGACAAAATCGTACCAAATCGTATGAAAATCATATATGAATCGTGGTATCTGATTTGTCCTCTGGATCGTATAATACGATCGTACAAGATCATATACGATCATACAACTTCGTATGAAATCGTACAGTACGAGCCAGACGACAAATCAGGTACCACGATTCGTATATAGATCGTACATAATCGCATATGATTTTGTACGATTCGTATACGATCTTGTACGATCGGATAGTACGATTCAATCACCTGGGTAGATAGGACACACCCAGTTCAAAAAATCATATCAAGATCTTACAAGATCTTATAAAATCTTACGAAAAATCATAGAAATGGATTCATCTTATAAAATCTTATAAAAATCATACAAGAATCTGACGAAATCTAATGAAATCTTACTATAAGATCTTACATCACGAATCAGTTTCTATGTTTCTTACAAAATCTTACAAATTCTTATACGAATCTTGCGAAATCAGACAGAATCGTACAAGAAATCTTATAAGATCTTAGAGTAAGATTCTTTGACCCGGGAAGACGAACAAAGAATACAATTCTTCGAATCGTGGTCCCTGAAAAGTCACAGGGTCCAGACTATACGTTCCGTACAACAATCGTACGCACGATATTGTACGATCTGATCTGATCCTATGAGATCTTGTGTGCGAAATAGTAAGATTAGATAAGATAGTGTCTGATTTTATACGATCATATACGATTTTACGTACGAAGGATACATGATTCTGACGTTCTTTGCTGGTTTCTCTTGCTAGTCTGTTTTTCTTGTGCGTTTTTGCCGCATATGAATCTTCCCTATTCGTTTTTTTCATGTCTTTTAATCATGTATGGGGGATATAAAAGGTTTAGAAAAAGAGTCGCTGGGTTGGAAAAACTGTAAAAATATTTCAGGTCATTGGATAAATCATATTAAAACGGGAAAAAAGAATTTAAAAATACAAATAATATAAATTTCCTAATAAGAAAAATCAACGAACAGAGCATTACAAAAAAGAATGGGAATTGAGATGAAAAGATGCGCTTATCTCGTAAACAAATTTTATAGAGAGCCAAAAATAGAGTAAGAGAAGCAGTCCTTTCGAGAATAAGTCTGAAAAAATGTGCCTTAAGACGCATTTTTTGGAAAGAATTCTCCAGCATGTGATTTTCTTTTTCATTCGCTGCTATATGTCCGGTTCTGACTCACCCCAACCCAACTTTCGAAAGTATGCTTACGCGAAGCTTCGAGCGCAAATCGTGTCATCAAACTAACTAAATTCCTATAAACTTAGTGCTCGAGCAGTTTAGTGTTAGCAATATACTTCTAATACTAAACAAGTCATTTGAATTCGAAATTGAGCTTTTTATAATAAAAAGTATAAATTGCAGCAAAAGCAAAAAAAATGATCAAAAGAGTACGATTTCGGCTCATATCATATGAAATCATACGACACGATCACGTACAATTTTTACCATTTTTACCAAACGATTTTGTACGAATCATACTACACGATTTCATACGAAATATCTGACCGACATATAATCAGACCCGCACCAAAATCGTAGTATGAGAAATCATATGATCCTACCGTACGAATCATATCACTTCTTACGTCTCGTTGCACTTAAATATAAGTCACGTCTCTTAATGGCAAGATCTTGTAAGATCATGCAGTAAGATCTTGTTACAAGATTTCATAAGAAAACGGCAGATTCTGTATGATCTTGTAAGCTGAGTTTCACCTGGGTGGTCGTATATCTGATGGCTCGGACTGTCATAAATGAAAACAAAATGTTTCACTTAAGATCTTGCAATATGTTGAGTGGATTCGCTTAGAATCTTGAAATTTCTGTGTCCCAAGATCTTGATTGAAAAATTCAAGAATCAATAACTTGACTTCTTGCTGTTTTTTTTCAAGATCTTGTGACATTTCTTAACCCAAGATCGTGGTCACGATCTACTTGAAGTTTCATTAGGGTGATCATATTTCTAATTCTAATTCTAAGGTAAGAATTTTATGTCTCAAACCCGTTTTTTCAAACACAACCATTCACATGGATGATAACAAAAAATAGATAAAATTGCGGAATTAGCTCGACAGTAAGAAAGAAAGGAAAATAAAAAAAATATCTAATCAAAGAGAGGAGAGAATATATAGTTATATATGTGTATTTTTGACAGATAGATAATAATAAAAAAAGCTGCTACATCCACCAATATCTTGAATGAACCTTTTTTGAATACTGTCAGGAAAGATATAAAGTAAAATAGGGAGAACTTTATTGTTCAGCTTTGGTTTATGGCTTAATATAAAAATCATCCAGCAAAAAACTACATACACATACCTCTAAATGATCAGATAATTGATCTCGTTGTCTTTCACTTTTATCCAAATCTTTCTTGAAATTTACAATTTCATTTAGAGTGTTCGATTTCATCAAATGACTTTGTATGTGTAAATATTCATGCTCAGGATTTAAACGATCTCGACTACCCTCTGAAACAAAACGATCGATTGTCATAGACAACAGCTTTAAAAGTCAGGTATAATCATACCTCTTCGTCGATGAAATGGTCCATCATCCGCTGAATCATAGCCATCTCGTCTATGTTTGATCATTGCTTCGCGTTCATATTCACTCCGCATTAATTGATCTTTTAGAAGAGTTACCTAAAAAAAGAGACAAAAACTGACAAGAATAACTTATTAACTACAAGAAGATTTTTTTCTACGTGATCAAACTTCGTTGCGTGTGAGAGCAGCAATTAAATAAGCCTGTCTACACTAAAGTTAGGATCAAAAATTCGTTCAAAAGGAGAAGAAATATAAACGCTTACACTTTCTCTTATCGATTTAGAGCAACCAAGCAATAGTTCTGATTGCTAAATTTAACAGCGTATATGAAGGAAATGAATAACCTTTTTCCTTATTTCGAATTACCTGGTGGGATAAGGCACTTTTATTATTTTCAGCGTCTTCGAGTTGACGTTTGGTATTCAAAAGTTGAGATTGAACCTATATAAAAAGAAAACAAAATATTTCAATCATAAAGGAGATCGCTTCAAATCTACCATTTGTTTGTTCGATTCGGCTAATAGTAATCTTGCTTGTAATATTTTATCATCTTCATTCGTTGAGGTGGCAGTAAAGGCTGTTGTTAGATTTGGTTTTCGTTGTAATTCTTGAACTAGTGTTTGTATGTCAACAGTTGTTTGAGCACGATGTTGCTCTTTTTCACGTTTTAAATCTTTTTGAATTTCGAGTAAACGTCGATCCAGACGAGATTGTACAACCTACAAAGCCTTACATTTTTACTTCTTTATCGATAATAGATGTGCGCTTTCTTACCTCATCCATCATATCTTGGCGAAAACTTGCCGATTGTGTATCATTTAATGCATCACTATCATCTCGCTCGCTTAAATGAAGAATGACATTATTTAACTGATAAAGTTCAAGTATCCTACATTCATTACTGTTCTCTTGATTTTAACTCGTTTCGTAATTTTCCATGTTCCGTAGAGAGTACATGTAAATCATCGTTTAGAAAATTTAATGAATTACCAATATCATCATTAAAACGAACACCTTTACGAGTACGACGCGATGCATCATTATGATTTGTTTCATTCTCATAATTCTAAATGAAAAGACAATATCAAATGTATCAGCAACTATAAGCTATTTTTATAAGACATACTCGATATCGTCGATCATCATTTGCATCAATTTCTAAAAATTAGAATAATATAACGAACTTTGTAAGAAAAAAAAAATCTCTCTCATTGTTTACGTGAGTCGATTCTATCAGTTGTCGAAATCGGATCATGATTGTTTCGAAACTAAAATAGATAAACTCAATACTAAGCGATAAGAGTAATCAATTACTCACTGTATCCAATAATGATCGGGGAGATTGAGTTGGCCTCAATGACTCAAAATTTTGTTGACCAGAACGAAGGTTACCTCCAGTATTCTTAACAAAAACTGATCAACATAAAGCAAAACATAACAAAATCATCAGTATATTATGACATACAATGAGTGTTGAATTTGGATGACGAACTTTTTCAGTGGGTCGTTGCGATGTGGTATCAACTACATTTGGTAATTGCCGCTTCGAAGACATTTCTTGTTATTTATCAAAGAAAGTCTGTACGCAACACATCTAAAAATAATTAAATGAAGAATTCAAAACTACATTTAGTTACTGTAATTCTCGTAAGGATATGTCTTGAGAAAAAACCGTTATGTTAGTACAAGTATGAATTAGTGCATTGAAAGCTGCAGAAGAAAAGAAAGGTGGAGTCTTCTTTGCGGTTTTCGTCTAGTCTAATCTACCATTATTGTGAGAACCACATAATATTTCTTGGTAACATTACCAACAAGTTAAACGTAACTGATAAATAAAACTAAAAGTCTGATTTTAAAAGTTGCTAGATAGATAATGATAGATGAACTTTCTTATTTCGCACAGCATACTGATATGCTCTCTCGTAGCTAGCGTCCTCTTTTTTTGTGGATAAATTAACCAATGGTACTAAAGGTGTGCTATCCATACGGCACAATAATAATATAAATAAATATAAAATAAAATATAAAAGGATACAGCGCTGTCAGAAATAAATAGATAAGCATCTTTTATTACTATTATGCAAGACGTTTTGAATGTTGAAGAAGATGGATAAATAGTTTTCTGTTGTTAAATTTTAATAATCAATGTGCGATCTCTTGCCGAGAGCATATCGGTATTTTGTTTGATAAAAGACCTTAAAAAATGTTACTTTTCCTAATTACTCACGTAATGAGTAGAACTGCTCTTCATATGTAATTAAAGAGTATAGGGTCATGAAATTTAGACTGCTAACACTGAAACAAATGCCAATGATTGGAGTCCACTTCAAACGTAGCGGTTTTTCGACTTCTTACATGATTTTCCAAATCAATTGCCTTTTTTTTATTTAATAGTTCTGAGGTTCTTTGCAGAAGATTTTGTCTGCCGATAGTTTCGCGTTGAGATTAATGTTCATGGTGTTCGTGAGTTATGGGAAGCTAGTTTTGTAAATACATTATCGCAACTATTTCTCGCAAATTTGACTATCGTGTTTCTAGTTCGTCGATTGTTGCCCAACTACGTCTTTCAAATCTTTCTCTCTGTCCTGATACTTTAAAGTTGTACAATTCTACATTTGAAATTAATCATCGTCTCCGTCCTCCTATTTTTTTTATTCTGCTCAGCGTCCGTATTATTGTTCTCTCCCTTATCATCACCCTAAATATGTTTGAACGACTTCTTTTGTCAACGATCTTTTTCTAACAGTGATTCTTCTTTTTTCAATTTACAGTTACCGACCGGGATAACCATCTATAATCGATCCTTTGTTGTTCGCTGTTATTATCTTTTAATAAAGTTCTTTCCTAGGTTAACCGTATTCCAGTATTATTAACTTGTTTTTTTATTTAAACGGTACATTCTTCTTTTTTCAACTATTGCTGATTGGAATAATCTCCCCCGGTCAGTTATTCGTCTTTCTTCTTTAATGTCTTTTAAAACAGCTTTACTTCAGTATCTCTTCCAGTGAAACGTTTGTCAGTTAAGAATTTATATTTGTTCTTTTTTGCTTATTTTTTTCACTACTTCTGGTTCTAACCTTAGTTGTCTTCTTTATTTTGTTCTTTTTTATTACTCTTTTGATGTTGTTCAGCTTGAGTCATTGCTATTACAGGTCGGTGACCTTTGATGACTCACTTTTCACGAATAAAACAGTCTTAGTCTTAAAATACAGAGCTGTAGTGCTTGTGTACGAAAGCGACAATTTTTTCAGGATTTTAAAATCTTGTACTGATTGTGTTATATCCCTATTTCCCATTGCCATTATTATCAGAGCCGTAGCCAGGGCGGGGGCCCCCCCCCCCCGCGGGGGGGGGGGGGGGGGGGGGGGTTTTGTTGGTGGTGGGGGGGGGGGGGGGGGGGGGGGGGGGGGGGGGNCCCCCCCCCCCTCCGCGGTCGCTACGCCCATGATTATTATTATTGTTTGTAACTGCAAATGTTTCTGCTCCAGGGAGTAGTTTCTCTGACTTTTCTATAGGAAGATTAGAAGTAGAAACACCTTTTTTTTAAGGATAATAATCAAAGGTATAGAATCATCCGCCTGTGAGTTTGAAAATTCTCCACAAACAGTTTAAAGTGTTGGAAAATTCCTACATTTGAAATTTAGAAAGGTTTTTACCAGTTTATTACTTATTATTCGGAAATTCCTTAAATATTCCTATGTGGAAAAATTTCACATTTTTTCTGTTGGGAAATTTTTGAAAACTTTTTGCAGTTTGCAAAACTTTTCCACAAGATAATACAAGATATTTTGTCGTTTGCTTTTGAGAAATTCTACAATTCTTGTTATGTAGCAGTTATTTAAATGAATGCGGATTATAGTTCTGCTCTTTGAATTTTCCTCAAGTTGTGTTTTTGTGAGATTTCTTTTATTTTCAAGATTTTGAAATTATAAACAAAAATAATCGGAAGCTTCGTTTACTTTGCAGTTCTAGACTTCTCTCACTAAGAGAAGATAGATCGCAAATGCTCGAATTACTTCGTCTTTAATATCGCGGACGTCAGTGCTTTTTAGCAAAATAAACAAAGTGTTTGATAGTTTTTTAAAAACTAAGTTTATTATTTTCGAGGAAATACTTTATTAGAAGCTACTACAATACCATTTTTTCGATCAGCCAACTAATGACTTGTCTTTTAAAATTTGTTGAAGTATTTGCTTTTTTTGTTTGTTTAAAAAAGTTTTTTTGACAGTGAAATAGGCATTTGTTTCATTTTGTTTTTTTTTTCTTTTCATTTACACACAAATCTTTTGAAGTCAATAGGCAGGGCACAGCAGTCGTGTCTAAGTGTAAAGTATTAATTATTCTTGCTATTTTGGATTTGATTAGTAAAATAAGTTTGTCAATTTTATTTTATCTCCGAAATTCTAAGTCTAGTACATCTATTTTACGCGTACATCTAACATGTACGCAGGAGTGCTTAACATTTCATTGCTTATTTAAGGACAAATCTATTGTTAACAGGTATTTTTAAATGTAATGCGAATAGTTTAAAACTGTTTTATGTATAGAAATAGAATCTTTTATATTTAGAATATTTCACTCATACTAAAAATGCCGTTTGCACAAGTTGTTTTTCTTTTACTATTGTTTTTTCTTTATATAGTTGATGAACATGTTGATACTCATTCTTGTATTTTTGTATAGTTATCACTTAAACTAAGTATACATTTCACAATTTGTTGACATTTTGACGATTAGTTTCTTCAAGTCATGTTATATATTGTTATAATGACATGAACATTCTACTCATGTCATAATGACTCGTAGTGAACAATTTTATTTTAAACTTTCGTCTGTAATGGGATGAGAGAACATTCAAATCTTCTAACATAATTTTTTTTAAAATTATTTTATATATATTCTGTTTTGTGACTTTCTTTCTGTACGTTCACATCGATGATTTAACAGTGGTGATATTCCCTCACTCTTTTTTTTCTTCTTATCACCTTTCTATTACATAGTTTAGTCGAAATTACTTTCGATTTTCTTCTTCCTAAGACTATATATACATTTTTGTATATGGGCAATTTGTTACCTGTTCCTTTTCGTAATTGTGATAGGTAGATAGGATCAATTATTCAAATAATTTAGTAACAACACTAAATATAGTTCTTGACGTTGGGTTAGTTTTCAATAAATGTTATCTTTTAGTATACTAGATAAGGTCAGACAGTTTTCTATAAAACGTGTGTGTACTTATGATAGATGTCGACTTTTTTTTTCTTCTTCTGATGGAAATAAGTAAGAACGACAAAAATAAATAAATATGACGTGTATTAAACATAAAACGTTAATTTGGCTACATATTCTGTTGAAATCTGACGATGAAAATTTTGTAATAATATTACGATTATGCGGATCTATATACAAAATTTTTTTTTCTTGAATGGATTTTTACTACTTTGTCATGTTTTATTTTAGTCATACCTTGACTTTTCTTTAATGATGTAAGAATTAAACTTTCTATATCTCATATCAACTAGACTAAGAATGGAGAATAATCGAGGAGATCATTAAAAATACATTAATCCAACAAAAATTTCAGTCAAAGCCAAACTTTTTATGAAATATTGTGTTTTTTGAGACGTTATTGGAAGTAACGCAAAATTGACTATAATTCGTTGTTACTAATTATGAGCGTATCTAACCGCCGAACAAATGGTAGTGTAGCGCAAAATACAGCGTCAGTAATATTTTAGAAATTAAGGTATTTGGACAATGGGTTGTCAAATATCAGGTTTTTCTAAGTAGTTGTTTAAGCCATACTAATTGACTTAAAATTAACAAATTACTACTTTCATTCACAATTGATTACCGATGATTAATACGGTTGAATGATTTCTAAGCCTCGTGATGAGAAAATAATCTTTTTTATTTGTAGATTTTTGTTCTCAGTTTCTTTTTTGTCAATAACGTCACATACAAAAATGAATGAAGACCAAACACCTCGATTTCCACATCCGGCAAAGTCACCAAGAAAAACCAATTTCCAGAACAGGAAAAACATGAGTTATTCAAATACTAATAACCAATCTGCATCTCGTTTTGGTGGTTATCTGTCGTCATTTTCTTCACCACCATTTTCTCATAAACAGCAATCACAAGAAAAACCAGTGATTAAACCTTTGTTAGAGTCCCTGACGCCACTGGCATTATTAGATGCAAAACCATTTGACAGAAGAAACAAAAAACGACGAAATGGTAGACAACAAGGTAACATAGGCAGAGAAATTTTAATTTGCTATCTGTAATTTGAGTTCTGATGAAAAACTCTCTCGATATTCTAAATTTTGATCTTGGTATCTTTTAGGCCATCGTAAATCTCAATCTAACGATTTCGATGATAAAATGGATAATTCATCATCGAAAGTAAGTGTTTACTTTGAAATTTTGAGGATTGTTATGATTTAATAATTTTTGGTATATTTAATTTATTTAGAATTTTGACAATAGTACAAATATTATCGCTATTGCACGTCCATCTAGTGAACAATTACAAGCATTAGAAATATGTTTTAACAAAACAATTAATGAAAAATTTTTGTCTGGTAACAGTATTCTAAAACGAAAATATTTATTTGAAAGTATAAAAAAATCAATACAACAAAAACGATCAGGTATAACATTGATATAATTTGACTTTATAGATTGTCATAATAATGTCTTTTGTAAAACTTATTGGAATGATGTGTCACCGTTTTATGTACATCTATAATTTATTCTTGTTCTAGACTGTCAAATTTCGATATATGGTAGTGTCTATTTTGAATGTTGTTTTGAACGAGTAGGTATCATTGATATTGACGTGAAGTTTAACGAAACATTACAATATGACACATTGAAAGAACTATTAGAAATTGTTCAACAGGCCGGTAATTATTATTTAAATGTAGTTTAATACAAGAGAGAAATGTATAATCTTTATTTTTGTTTTTAATCTTTTCAAGAATATTGTGACGGAGCTAAAATTGATCCAGATCATAAACCGTCATGCATTATTATGAGTACAAAAGGCGATCCTTCAATTCGTGCTCGTTTAACGTCAGGTTATACACGTGGAATACATTTATCAAAATTAATTCGTCTTTATACAAAATTTGATCCACGTACATTAAAATTAATGAGATTAATCAGATATCTAGCAAGAGTATGTAAAGAAAAAATGATTATTTGGAATCATCATATCACTATCTGTGATATCATATGTAACAATTAATTTCTTTAGTATAAATCAATTTTTCGAATGGGAACTAAGCAATTGTAAGCAGAAAACATTTCTTTGAAACAATTAATTCGAGTATAATTGGACGACAACTAAATACAGTTCTCGAGAAAAGTCGAATATTTGAACTATTTTGTATGAGAAACTGTTAATGTTACTATTGAATGGACTTGGACTAGATGAAAATGATTCTCTTGAAAAGCTAACTTATTTATGTGAATTAGTTTGTATACATTTATTTGTAATTTATGATGAACATATGTTGACCTGACCTATTCTTCCAATTGAGCATTCATATCTGAATTTTTTCTTAGTCTTTTGTGATTCGTTGTATCTTACAATTACTTCTTAAACTGTAAATCGATATATTCTTCCAGGTATGTAATATTGATGATACGGAACGTGGTACATTGCATCCAATTGTTTATCATATAATGGCTATACATTTTCTACAACAGATAGAACCGCCAATATTACCTGTTTTACATGAACATGTATGCTTCTGCTAAATTGAGGCTTTTCTTAGTAAATATAATAAGTTTTGTTATCTTAGATGTATGGAATTGATAATGTACCAGTTACATTAAATGAACAGCAACATAACGAATTTTTCAAAGCATGTAATGACTATGTAAGTATGGCTATAATATTTTTTAGTGATTTACACAATTTTTTTTGTTTTTATTTCTTTTTTAAGGAGAAATCTCAAAAATGGAAGTCGAAAAACAAGACATCTGTGGAAGAATTATTTTTACAATTTTTATCTTACTATTTACAAGTGTTTTCAACAAAACAATTTGTCGTATCAATACAAACAAAAATGCCCGTATTGAAAACTGAAAAAAACTGGCATAGTCGAAAATTACTTGTCGAAGGTATGATAGTTGTCTCAATGTTAAAATGGTAGTCACTATAGTTTTAGAGATAGCTTGTCCCTAATGTCAAAAGATCCACATGGTGTATACATGTACGCAAGCTTATCAAACATCCGTGCATATAATCTGAAAATGTTTTGTTTTTCTCCATTTCATTTAGATCCAACTGATGTCAAACGTAGCTTATGTCAAACAATGCAAGCTGCACGTTCTCTGGAATATTTTCGTTCGTGTCTTCGTTCAGCATTACTCTATTTTGGCCGTAAACAAGTGATTAAAAAACAAAAATCAGACAGTAGTAATGTAGATGATAACTCTACAGATGATTTTATCATTGTCGACAACGATGATATACCAACAATCGAGCCGAAAAATTTATTACAATCATCATTTAAAATATTTGCGAAAAATTTACCTCCATCTGTTTGTCGTGATCAGACAATTCGTCAAGCACGAGTGAAAGACTATTACATACGTTTATTCACCAAACAATCGCCTCCTGAACCACAATTAAAATTACATAAGAAAAAATCGAATGGTAATGGTGGAACGAATACAGAGTGGGGAAACGAAGTAACCGAAGAAGTCGAAGAAGCATTTCGTCATGATACTGAACATGATTACGAACAAATGGATGAAAATGATCAAGAAGATGAAATACAAGTACCGCTAGAAGAATTACATATCAAAGAAGATGATGAAGAAAATGGAATCGGAATCGAAACATTTGGAGAAGAAACTGAACAAAACGATATGTAAGCCGATGGTTTTAATCATCTTCCGCGGAAAGAAGTTTGACGGATGAGCGTTTTGTTGACTGTGAGTTCACACAACAAAATCTTATAGATTTTTGATCTGTTTTAAGATTTGTTTCTTGTTTAAGTGCGTGCATCGACATCTTTCTGTTTTGAAATAGCCTACAGTGTTTCATAAGACCTTTTTCGTTTTTCTCTCTTGATAAACAAAATTAGTTTTGTATAAAAATCGCCAGGTTTACTCTGCACCTGTATGAAGTGTTCAAAATTAGTTTTTCTTTATAATCACCATGATTGACTGTATATTTGTAAATATTGTGAATGTAAGCTTTCAGTTTTCTCGATATGCTAATGATTTGTGTTTTTACTTTCTATCTTTTAGTCATGATGGTTTATTACAGTTACCATCAGTCAATGAAGATGACCCATCACAATTCGTTCAATGCCCACCTGAAACACCGCCATTGGACACTTTTTCTTCGATTAATGAGGAAAATGATGAACAAAATGGAATCAAACCTGATGATAAAGAAGGTTTGGATTTAGCTACTAATAATATTGGCGACGGTGATAATGAAAATAAAATGATTTTGTCTAATGTTACGACTAACGAATCAGAACGAAAAATCGTTTTGGAGAAAGCGAATGATATGAGTAGTGCGAGTACGAGAAGTGGTCAAGAAAATGAGAATAAAAAAACTAGTGAACAAGATGCCGACAGTGTTGAAAGTAAAAATATAGATTATTTATTAGCACAATTAAATAAGAAACAAAAGCGACTTTTACAGAGAGAATATGAACGACAAGGTAAACAAGTCATCATAGTTAGCTATGATATCAGTGAAAAATTGACTTGCTCTACTCACGTATGCTTCTAATATATAATTACTTAACAGCCATTTCATATACGTGACGACTGGGTAATCTTAAGCTCCCTGAAAGCCCCTAATGTTCCTGTGGGTGACTATTATGTTTCCCATCGAAATTTTTCCATCTAGTGGATAGATCAAGGTTGGAACTACTTATGCTCCAAATATTTCGGAAATTCGTCTTGTATAGTGGGAGAAAATCAATTTTGAAAAATGACATTTTCATGTACAATTGCTACTTCTGATGCAGTTTTTCTTTTATCAAAAGCGAGTTAGAAGCTCACACGTTTAAATGTTGAAGTATTCGAGGTTCTCTATCTAATAGCATTTTCAAAGTTTTATGAAAATATCTCGTTTCGATACAGTATGAGTCCAGAGTGGATGTGAGTAACATAATGTTGTCAATATGAGAAATGTCGCACTTTTTAAAAGTAAATTTAAATTTAAAATGTTCGTTTCTCAGCAATCCAACAATATTTTTTCAAATCGAAAACGCCATTTTACTCAGACATGTCTATGTTTTTTCTATGACTGTTTTGAACGAGTACTGTGGCATACGTTGGAGCAATGTTCTACGTAATTTAATCGTCGCTTATATAAAACGACTGTTATACTTCTGTGCACCTTTTTTTGGATTTTACATCGCAATATGCTACCACTGGTGTGAATTATGTTCTTATTTTGACGACACGTTACTTTGTTGTGTAGAGTACCAGTGCTTTTTTGTTTTTAGGTAGAGTTTTGAATGAAATTGTTAAAGAAACATTTAACTCGTTGATTAAAGATAAACCACAATCCGCAACTGAAACAAACTCATCCCCAATTAGTGAAACTGATATAAGGAATGAATTGCCATCTGCAACATCCTCATCAGAGTCATCTACGTCAACGCAAGTGACGGTTTTAGCATCAACAACTAATCAATTACCTACTAAACCATCGTCACCTCTAGACCACATACCATCAGCATTATCATCACCATCAAAATTCAGTGATGAGCAAATAACGTTAACAACAACAAATTCAGAATATTTTTATGATTTTCAGGCAGAAAATTTCGGTGCAGAACAAGTGAGTTAATTATACATAGCTGAAAAACAGAACGATCTTAATTGTATGTTCTAGGGAGCACCTTATGTTTGTACAACATGTAATAGTGTTGGTCATATAAAATCTGAATGCCCTGAATTAAATATTCCTGATTTAGTAGAAATTCCTCAATTGAGTGATGCCTGGTTGAATAAATTATCCTCGATATGTGTTGACATAACAAGTAAAATAGTCGTAGAAACTTGTAGAATTTCATATCCAAAAAAGTAAAACACTCGACTTCATTTTAGCTAATTGTAAACCGATGGACAGCGATATTGAATTGCGTAAAAAAATTCTGGAACTTTTAAGAAAATTATTCAGAAAAGAATATTCCGATTGTGAACTGCATGCATTTGGATCGTTTTATAACGGATTCGGTTTTAAGCGTAGCGATCTGGATATTTGTGTAACATTCAAAGATGTGGCAGAGGACGATGTAAGTTAAGCAGTTATTAAAGTAAATATTATATTTGATCATCTAGGATATTATCAAGTTGTCTTTGATCTATGACTTTCGTCGATCGCTTTAAACAGAGAAAATTCCCTTCTTCTTTGAACTTATGTCTCTACTTTTTGTTTCACAGGAAGAACAATCTATTCGTATAATGCAAAAACTATTGCGTATAGTACGTTCATGTGAGCAGTTTTATGATGTATTGCCCGTTTTACATGCCAAAGTACCCATTATACGTTCAAAACATCAAACAGACATCGATATTGATATTAGCTTACACAATAGATTGGCAAGTAGTAACAAGTGAAAATTTTTTTGTGATTCTAATCTTTTGTTTTTGGATCTTTTCCCGTTTAGGCGATTGAAAATACACGGTTATTAAACACTTATACATTGATCGATCCAAGAGTAGCTCAATTGGGCTATATGCTCAAGTTTTTAGCCAAAGTAAGTAGAAATGCAATACATGTTCATTGCTACTCTTTCACGTGATTATTTTTATTAAGAAATGTGAGATTGGTGATGCTTCTCGTGGTACACTTTCAAGTTATGCTTATATTATAATGGTTATACATTTTCTTCAGCAAACAACGCCACCTGTACTACCCGTTTTACAACTAGTAAGATATTTTACTGTTGTTTTTAAATTGCAGCAAACCAAAACTTCTCTATATTCGTTTTTAGCTATGTAAAAATGATAATGCTAAATCGTCAGATACATATAAAAAATGTGGAAAGTGGAATGTGTACTTTTATGAAGATATGGAGAATTTGGTATGATAATAAAAGTCCTTTCGCTCTTTCTTCAAAAGCTGGCACTCCGATTGAATATGAAAATAAGATATTATCAGCAAAAAATTCACACTTGCATAAAGAAAATACTTTAAAGCAGCCTTTTTCATGAATAAATCTCTCATAGAATACATTTGCTTGTTATTACTCACGTACTAAAGCCCTAAAAGAATAAGTACCATTCGTCTCCAGAAAATCTGCTATAATCCAGGAGTGGCCTTTTCTTCATCCTCACTAATGTTTCGTTTTGTGCTACTCGCCAAATTATTGATGTCTGCATCATTGATATACTTTTCATTTTTATATAGGTAGGTGAAAACGAAGACTTTTTTGTATTTATTTGCTTATTTTATTTTATTATTTTTAGTCCAAAGTTTGGAAGGACAGATCGGAAAATCTTTTATCTGTAGGCGCATTATGGATTGAATTTTTACGATATTACACGGAAACATTTAATTATGAAGAACACATTGTGTCGATAAGAAAATCAGAACCGCTTACAAGATGGGATAAAGGATGGTTTCGACCGACATTAGCTGTTGAAGATCCATTTGAATTATCACATAATCTGGCTGCCGGTTTATCTGTTAAAAGTACGCTTTCTTATTATTGAAATAAGAAAGTAGTATTTAACCAATATTTTTATTGTTTCAGATTGGGCATTAATTCGTCGTGTTTTAATTCGTGCACGAAAAGCATTTGCTTTGGAACCACAATTAGACATTTCAAATGCAACATTTGCTGATTTGGAGGTACGTTACTCCGTGATTTTGATTCTCTGTTTATCCTCACTGCAAGATAGAGTTCAATCCGTCTATCTTTATTGCTAATCTAATTTTAACGAATATTTTATTGTTTCCATAGCCTCTGTTATTTAATATTGATGAATTATGTCCAGCTCATGCTCCAAAACGTTGTGAATGGTGTCGTGGCCCATATCATATTCGTAAAAGATGTCCAAAAATAGCCACATTAGCAGCTGATCAACAAAGAGAAAAACAACAAACACGAACACTAATGGCCCAATATCAACAAACGCAAGGAGAAATGCAAACTGGATTTCATCATCAACAACAACAACAATTGTTCTATCATTCGCAGCCAGGATATCAACGATCAACGACAAATGGATATCCATATCAAACCCGAACATTCGAAAATCAACAGAGGTATAAATATCATAGTTCGCAGATTAAAAGAGCGGATCATCTATTTGTTTTTGGTCAATCCTTAAATGATGTTTCATCTAAAAGCTTGTGTGTTGAAACTCTCTGGTACTGAACAATGTTATCTAGTTTTTTACTTCATACCGGTAGAATTTCTTTAAGTATTTTAATTAAATTTACAGGTATATTCATTCATAAATGTAACAAGTGTTTAATCTTTCGAATCGCATACGCATAGGATTCATCTTCAGAAAATGACTACTGCAATTAATCAGCAAATTATGTTATATTAAGTTATTATTTTTTCCGTAGGTATAACAATCAATCGTCGAATCAAAATAATTTCGATTTTTCGAACTCACAAACATCGACACCAAATGTATTTCCTAATAATCATCACAGACCACAACAACCAAATCCAAATTATTTTGCTCAACAGCAGCAACAGATGTTTAACAGTTATTATCCACAACAACCGACAACACGGCATCAGTTTCAAAGACAATACAGTCCACGTGTATGTTTCCAGTGTAATGAATCAGGACATATCAGAGTTAACTGTCCTATTTTCCGACGTATTCAGACAGATTCAAATCAGACCACTGTGGTAAATCAGTCAGCTTAGGGTTACTACTTTAACATTTTCATCCGGTCATATTTAATTGTCTTCTGTGTTGTTCAGGTTGTTTTTCTTGCTGTATCGTTTTCTTTTGTTTTACAGCAAAGGCGAGAAACCATAATGCTTTTTTAGAATTTCGCCCCATTTTACTTTACAGTTTTAATTAACAACCTGTTGAATGTTTTAGGGTCAGTTAATAGCAACAAAGTTGCTACCAATTTTTTGATCATTTTTTGTGATTTAGAAATGAAGAACAGATTTTTCTTGTTCGAAGTTCATTTCTAAATTGGGCAGGAATTTGATTTTTGTACTGAATTTTAGAGCATTTTTTTTAGTATCTGCATCCGTCTTCTTCATCTTATTGGTAGATACGTTTGAAAATCTTTATAATGAAAGTCAATCAGTATATAAGAAAGAATAATATCCTTTCTCAATTAATCTGATGAAAAGAAAAAAGTTGCTGAAGCATCATTTAGCGTTCAAAAATGATTTGAGTAGATGGACCAAACTTTGCTCTAATTTTTCGGACAAAAACAAATGATAATCGAATGCAAAAGTTCAGTCATTAATTGTTATTTTATTGAAACATAAATAGACAAATAACAACAAGAGCCGAATTTGTTTAATTGTTGTATCAGGAAAAAGAATCGTAACCTCTCTCTTTACTGGGACGTATCATAAAAATGTTTTTCTTGTTTTTATCGACAAAAAAAACAAGCATTAACTTTATTTTTCTGTAAATTTTTTTATGTGTGTGTTCTACTTCCTTTTCACTTAAATTTTTGTTTTTCTTGTCGATCTCATCGTTTGTATATATACACAGTTTGTTGTTTGTGCGGAATAATACATAAAGATCACTAGAGTGCAGGAAAATGAAAGAGTGATTTTTTTTATATTCCTGCACTTTTACTATTATCTTTTCCTCTTTTTTGTTTAGTGCATCGTTTTTCTTTTCGCTTATTGTTGTTTGTTATTTTTGATTTTGTTGTTGCTTATTTCTTTTTGTTTGTGGAAAATTCTCTTTATTATACATCGACACACAGAATGCATTTATTTGACAACGTATGTTGCACACATGGCATTAGAAATTGGTTTCTCTTCATTGGTCTAAGTCGAAAACTTCTAAATGACATAGAATACGATAAAAAATTGCAATATTAGAGATCAAGCTTTTTTTCCACTATACAGGATTATGTTATTCTTTTTAGATTTCTCTTTATTTTCATTTTTCATACTAAACTGAACACACACAAAATGGACAGTGATGAATCTCAGCAACAGCAGCAGTCACAACTGCAACAACAATATCAACTTCAGTCTCAAAATATTGTAACAACAGCAGAACGCGAATTTATGTTGCAAAAATCGTATGTGTTAAAGAACTAAAAATTAGAATGAAACGATCACAACTGCTATTCTTTCCGTTTATAGAATACCTCTATTTGGTGCAGAATTAGGGACACGTTTAGAAATAGCTGCATTTGATAAATCAAAAGGAAACAAAGTTCGTAAGATGCAAATGTGCAAATTTCAGCTGCTTTTTTCTGATACGAGTCCCGACCTCCATCCTCACTATTATTTTTCCATCCCCTTGTATGTTGTCTGAATATTTATAGTGTCTGTGACTTATCGACTCGGAAAGAGAGCGAAGTGGTAAAATGAATACCCAGTAAAACAGTTTTTATTGTTGTTGCAGTATTGAAAAAAATTCCCCATTTTATTTTGAAAAAAACATCTGACTCACTATAGAACATCCGGATTTGTCACCCTTGAAGAGCTGGGGGAATTTAATTATTGTGTCCTTTAGTCGGATTATACTAAAATGTTTGAGAATTATTCTAAACAACTGTTAATTCGACAATTTCAACAACAACAACAGCAACAGCAAGGTATACAGGCTTCGATTGTCTATTATTCTTATTCTTTTCTTACAATCTGTATTCTGTTTCTTTATTCTGTTTCTTTTAGCTTTAAATGCTGTCAATCGTCAACAGCAAAATCAACAGTTGTCACAACTTAGTCAACAACTGGCACAAATACAAAACGGTCAGGCAACAATTGTGAATAGTTCTCAATCTCAGCCTCCGCCACTTTCTCAACAGACAACCATTAATGGTTATCAAGTAACTTTACAACAACAACAGCAACTTGCACAACAACAGCAACAACAGCATCAAATATTATTAAATATACAAAATTCTTCAAATAATGGAAACCCATCAGTTTATTTAAAACAGCAACAAGCGCAAAATCAGCCCTTACCTTCTCAAACATCCTATGTACAGCCATCTATCAATGTGCTACAGCAATCTCAAACAAATTCACAACAATTATCACAGTTATTACTCAATAATGGATTGCAACAAAATCAACAACAACCTCATCAACAACTTTGTTTAACATCACCGTTGAATATCCAAAATAATCAGAATCAAATTCGATTGCAAATTCCAAATACAAATACATTACATACGACTGTGAATCTTCAACAACAGCAACAACAACAGCAGCAACAACAACAACAACAGCAGCAGCAGCAACAACAACAACAACAACAACAACAGCAGCAGCAGCAGCCACAACTACAACGACAAACAATACGTAAGTTCAACATTATCATAAATAATTAAGACTAATAACTACCAAATCTCTCCTTGTACTAGGAGCTACGGTGAAACTTTATAATAATTACATTAAGATGTACTAAGAAAAGTATAACCTCTAATTTTAAATTTTACTATAATCAGTATTGGATAGTCTTTGGTGAAAACTTATTGTTGAGTAATTCTATTCAAAATTTTCCAATTCAACGTTTAATGGGGACAAAAAAATATCGTTGTAAAATAAATTTATATTAGAGGGGCATTCAACTTGTCTCGGATGAAAGCCATTGATCTTTGCTTCTATATGTGACAGATAACGCACGTTGTACGACACGTTTCAAAAATACGTTATAAAATGTCTGCTATTCTTCAGTATATATGAAACAGACGTATTGTCCGTAAAAAAAGAATAGGCGTGGCTATTTTCTCAATAAGTTTTGAACAATGCATTTTGAAAACTTGTGGTTTTCAGCATTGTCTAGAGAAGATAATTAGCTACAAGATGATATAAAAATATCCTATAAAATACCACCTGCAGATGCTGTACCTTATTAGTCTATGAAAGGGAGTATTGCCACATTATGGAAGCAGATTGGATTTTCAACGTTAATATGTTTGCTAGATAGCTTAAACATTACTCTACACATACCAGGAAACTTCATGACTCCATCTACAGCAGTTCAGACACTATAAGATTTTTCCGATGACCTACCTATTGACTAAACTTCATCTCTGAAAACTTCTGAAACACATGGATCATAGATTATCGACCACGCTGAATCTCGTGGCAATGTTATTTTTTGAAAAAGCTTCAGAAAACTAGTGAAAACCTATACTAGACGAAATAATCCATTTGTCACTATTTCCAGCGAAAGTTCATTGAACTTCATGGTGTAGCGCAAATAAAATCGAGTATGCTTTGACATGGTGAATTTGTTTGGATTAACTCTAACTAAGTTATGAATTTTTAATTTTCGCTGGAAATAGTGACAAATGGATTATTTCGTCTAGTATAGGTTTTCACTAGTTTTCTGAAGCTTTTTCAAAAAATAACATTGCCACGAGATTCAGCGTGGTCGATAATCTATGATCCATGTGTTTCAGAAGTTTTCAGAGATGAAGTTTAGTCAATAGGTAGGTCATCGGAAAAATCTTATAGTGTCTGAACTGCTGTAGATGGAGTCATGAAGTTTCCTGGTATGTGTAGAGTAATGTTTAAGCTATCTAGCAAACATATTAACGTTGAAAATCCAATCTGCTTCCATAATGTGGCAATACTCCCTTTCATAGACTAATAAGGTACAGCATCTGCAGGTGGTATTTTATAGGATATTTTTATATCATCTTGTAGCTAATTATCTTCTCTAGACAATGCTGAAAACCACAAGTTTTCAAAATGCATTGTTCAAAACTTATTGAGAAAATAGCCACGCCCATTCTTTTTTTAACGGACAGCAGGTACAAAGTTACATTGTTTGAAAATTAACAATATACTATATCATGAGTTTTCAACGTTGTTGAGAAAGAGAAGATGCTTTTTATTTTAAACCTCGAAATTTTCTGAACTTAACAAACTTGTTTTATAATCACTTTTTAGTTACACAAAAGCACAAGTGCTGAAAAACTATGGTCCTTGATATGTGCGCAGCCCTCGAGGCTGTATTTCTGTAACTTTTCTCACAACTAATTTAAAAATATGTATGTCGAGCGTCACTAAAGTACTTTGAAAAGTCGATCTTCAAGGATGTTTTTGTACTGATCACTGCTCGGTTTATGTCTATTATTTAAACTGCTGAGAAGGCTAATTATAAACGTCAGATGTTTTATTTCTTCTAGCATCTCAGCAACAACATCAAGTTCAAACTACTCAGCGCCAACAACCGACTCGTGCTCAACTCCAACAATTACAAATACAGCATCAAATTCGAGCTCAAAATCAACAAACCATCCAACGAACAAATACGGCACCGTCCATTCTCATTCAACAACAAGATCCAGCAGCTCAAATACAACTACCACAACTGTCAAATACGTCATCTAATGATCAATGTAGGTCCTAACCTCTGAAAATAAAATATCTGGAACAATAAATGTAAATTATGTGATGTTCTCTATTCAGTATTACAAAAACTACTTAGTAGTAATGTAACAAAACCTCAACAACAACAACAACAAATTCAAAATAGAGAACAGGCTAGACAAGTACGAATAATCCATATCTTTATTTCATAAAATATTTATAGTCAATCTATCTTCAGTTTCCAGCCCAACAAACACGCTATCAACTCGCATCCGTCCCAGGCCTGACGGCACCTGCTCAAACCATAACTATTCATGGCAGAACTACTCCTCCACCTTCAATCCAACAACAGCAACAACAACAGCAGCAGCAACAACAACAACAGCAACAACAACAGCAACAACAACAACTGCCACCCACCACGCTCATAACAAGTCAATTGTTACCATTATCTGTACAACAAGCGTACGTATTCTTCCTTTCTACTTCTTTAGTTTCAGCCTTCTTTCTCCTCTTTTAGCGTTCCGAATGATGTATCATCTCCCAGTCAACAACAACACCTTATTGCTCAGCAACAACAAAGTCCATTGAATCCGATGATGACAGCTGTCCAAAGTCCACTATTAAGTAATCCATCATCAATCAGAACAGGAATATCAACGTCGCCAATGAATATGAGTAAATAAGCAATTTTTATAAAAAAAAATTCAAATTGTAATTTTTATTTTTTTCAAGATCATAGTCCAAATCCAATGATGTCAGATGATGACCTTCAATTTTATTGTAAATATTTAAATGATGGACTTGTGAAACTAACATTATTAGGACAAAAACTTCAACAAAACGGTAGGCCTATAAACAATTTGAAAACATGAAAAAAATTTATTGTTGAACTTGTTTAGGGCAAATGGACAGACTGAAATATGTTACAATGGTTCGCAATCGTGTTTTGCAATTTCTTAAAAATTCATCTTCTGAAACTTTAGCAAAGGCAAAAGAATTAAAAGATATTATTGATCGGTTCCAAGTGAGTAAAGGAAGAAAGGAACAGAGTGATACAAAATTATCAGTTACTTTACATTTTAGCCAATCCGTTCAAATACTTCTGCTCCTCACGTAGTGAGTACCGAGAGCTCAGTAGGATTGATAGCAGCAACAACACCATCATCCTCTAATATGCCGGTGACAAGTGTACAAAGTGTTGCATCAACAACAACGGTATTTGATCTATGTCATAAAGCTATACTAGATTTTCTTGGAAAAGATCGATCAGAAAGAATTACTGTCACCAAACGATGTCTTGAACCATTGACAGATGTTCTCAACGGAGTTCCACATAAGTAAACTTCCTAATGTCCGTTTTATTTCATAAGACGATTTAAACTTTGTTTTTAGAATAATGCGATTAGACGATACGTATGAATATGTATCTACAACTTTAAATAAAGTTCGTTCGACCGATACAGAACAGACATTTGAAACAATCGTTAAAAATGAGCTATCACAATTACCAGCAGATGTTTATCGATGTGAATTAAAATCAGTGTCACAATCTTGTTTTGCTCATGGTCTTCTACTAAAATGTTTTTTAATCGAACAAGGTTTGCCAGTTATTCCACCATTAAAATTCAAAATCTCAAAATATTATCCTGATGATTGTCCCGAAATATTATCAATATTAGAAACAAATCCACCTCGATTAGAATGTTCAGGTATTAATAAATGTAGAATACAAAACGTAACCTATATACATATGTTTTATCTGTTAAAATTATTTTATTTCAGATGGACATGTATTTTATGAAAAATTATCGAAAATATTCATTCATCATGTTTTTAAATTACGGCCGAAACATACGGTGACAGATGTACTCGAAATATGGGTAAATTATTGAAAAGCTAAAAACAACAGAAGGAAAAATAATTCTTATGTTTATTTTTATGTTTAGAGAATGGCCGTTCATAATGCTTTATAACAATTGATAATCATGCACTCGTCAAACTGTGAACAGACATTTTATCTATTATTTTATTTTATATTTATGTTGTCTTATTTTTTTTGTTCATTAAAATTTCAGAAAAACAGTTCTTATACGTCTTTCTTATATATTTTTTTTTCATTTTTTTATCTAACAAATACAATCTTTTTGGTGTGACAGCTAACTTTTTTCTGATTTGTTTTATTTTTTCATTTATTCTATGTCCCTCCATTTGTCTAACTTTTTTTAGCAAAACTGTGGTGGTATTTATTTTTAGACCATGTTTAGTAAAATCACATAGTTTTGGTTGGCTAACGTTTTGTCTTTCTTCTACAGTGTCTTTCAACACTAATCAGAAAAATACGATTTTAATCGTATATAATATGGAGGAAACAGAATTACAAGAATTACAGAATTACGTTTTTTATGTATAAAATTATTTCTATTTTTCGTTCATTTTTCTGTTCATTCTGTTCTGTTAGAATTTACGTTGCTTGTTTAATGGTTGGTTTATTCTATATAACAATAAAAACCACACAAAAAAAAAACAACAGAAAAACACAAACACTCAGACACACAGACTATATAATTTAGTTTATACGGAAAAATGAGAAGGATAATAAACGGAATGTATATGATTGAGAGATAAGCGATGAATAATAAGAAAAACAAATATACATAAACAGTCGTTTAAAGCAGCCCGTTTATATTCAATTTTTTAGCTATTAGTTAGATATATTAAAAAAATATACGGATGTTATTAAAAATACTACTGCATATTCTAGCTATTTGTAGGGAAGAGGATGAAAAGAAAATTTTTTTAAATAGAATAAAAAGTTGCTTTGAGTAAAAATAGTATTTAGAAAAAAAACAGAAAAAAAAAACAAACTGATCAGTATACCATCAAAAAAAGATTATAAAGATGTGGATGCTGAAAAAGAAGCTATTTTGTTTTCATTGCAGACTTCATTGCAGGGAGATTATTGAGGAATACGAAAAGTTATAAATAAAGGAAAATGAGAATGAGTTCATGTTTATTTTGTTAGGACATGTCTCAGAGTTCAAAAAAGTATCTACTAGTTGTTACACATTGTATTCGAACTAGGAGTGTTATGACACCTGATAGATTTTTTTTATTAGGAAACTAAAATCATTAAAAGAAAAAGTATGATTAAATGTTTATTGTTGATCATTTTCTTGTTTTTGATTAAAATTCATTGTTTGTAAATGATCAACAATCTCTTGTTCTTTTTCATGCGTATGTTCATGTTCTAATGCTAATGGTTGTTCTAATTCGTGTTCTAATGCTAATGGTTGTTCTAATTCATGTTCTAATGGTAATGGTTGTCCTAATTCTATTTCAATTGGATCTAATAGTTTTTTTAAATCATCAACTTTGTCCATAATAGCATTACATTTTTCTCTTAGAAATATTCTTGATTTATCTGTGCCCTCTGTAAATATTAATTCTTCTAATAATAAATCGACACATATACGATAAACATGTAATGCTAATGGATAATTTTTGTCACGTTCATGTTGTTGTGCTTCAATTAATGTTTGATGAGCACCTAAAACGAAAGAAATTTGATTAATAATATACAACATAATGAAATTAGTCAATATTGACATATAGCTTATGTTTCTTACCTGTTATTCTTATAAAATCATCTTGACCTCCTCCATTTTGTTGGGTTTCATTATTATTACTTGATTGAACAATTGTACTATCACTCGTTAGATCATTATCATCTGTCGGTGTTATTTTATTTGTAGCTGTCGACGTTGTTGTATCAACTGTTGTGACATTATTTGGATGATAATGAATTTGAGAAGAATCGTGATTTGTTGCAGTGCCATTATCATGTGACAAATTATCTACACAGACTATAGATGATAAATTTTCATTTTTTAGATTATTTTTATTTTTATTACAATTATCATCTGAATCACCAACGTTATTGTTATTATTATTACTATTATTATTATCGGCGACAGCTACGGTAATATCTTGATCGTTCACCATTATTTCATTATGGAATAAATTAAGAAAATATGTAGACAATTTTATAATCACAGGACACGTATGAACACAAAAATCTAAAAAGTAGAATTAAGCTAAAAATATTATACTCGTATGAAGAAGAAAAATCTGTGGTATTTGAAGCAAACAGAATAAATGTCTAGCTTTTCGTCGGCTTTTCTCTTTAACTTGTCTGTATAAACATATCATTAGAATTTTTGAATCAAATGATTGATACCTTACGACTATACCACATTAGATTGAGAAGAATGTTTATGAATAATTTGTTCTATATTTCGGGTAGAAAAACGTGTAAAGGTTTTTCGATTTTTTTGTATAATTTAAAGAGTACATTATACAGACTATAATAAATGATGCTTATGAAAAAAATGCCTTCAAGTTATATTTTACTTTTTTTTCTTCAAGTGACATTAAAAATAAAAAAAAAGTAAAACGAAAAATATTCTTTGCGTTCAATTCACATATTCTATTTGACTTGTATGTGTACGTTGAATAAACTTTACTGCAGATGTGTGTGTGTATGTGTATGTGTAGTAGTTATTAAAAGTTGTCTTTAAAAGATTATTTTTTTTCCTTTTTTCTTGTGGTTTAATATGTCTCATTATCTCATACCAGAAACAGAAAGATGATATCGTACTAGGCAAAAAATTCCAAAAGAAAACAACAACAATCAGTCAATTAAAAACAGTCAAAAAGAAATATAAAATAGTAAACCCTACGGATATATGTTGAATACATATCGATGAAATTAATTTGATTTGATTTTTGCAAGAAGATTTCTGATCTTAAGTCATTTTAAGATGTAAACTGTCTTTTATATCATTCAGTATAAGGTCATCTGTGATTTTCGAATAATATGTGTGTATGAGAGTAAAGATCTGGTATTATTAATGATGATAATCGGCTTATGTCGCCTAAAGGAATGAGAATAAAAACACAATGTCAGTTATAAAACAAAAGTCATACGTTTCTACAAGAGGCCGTTATGGACGCATATTTTTTCCACCTATGACTCGTACCTCAAAAAACGTTTTACGCCCGCGTCCATGGGTGCGGATGGACGTTCTGTCCAATGATGTCTCTGAACGAAAATGTTTTTTCGTAATAAAATAAGATAAACCTGACTGCCCATCTATTTTGCATTGGCGTCAGGGTTGTAACCGGTCTGAAAATAAGAGGCCGGACCGTGCCGGCCGGTTCAAAACAGCGGAACGGACCGAGCCTGCCGGCCACCGGCCAGTTCAAAAATCGGTTGAGACTGATGAAAAACCGGCAACCAAATGGTCAATCACCGGTCGGTCTGAAAATCTTTCTAGGCCGGTGGAGACCGGCCGGTCTAAACTTTTACACAGGAACGGACCGGCACCGGTTACAACTCTGATCGATGTTCAGTTACTATTAGCCCCGCTGCACTAAATATCCATTCTACAGTAACTATTGTTGCGGATATCGAGGGAATTTTTCACGCGACTTTAGACAGAATACGAGCAAACTTTGCTCTAAGAAGAAAAAAACAATTTTCGTTTCCACTCATGGGCAGATAAAAACGTCCATGGGCACTCGTGGAAGAGATGGGCGAGTCACTTTTTCGAGCCAGGAGGCTTCGAGTCCTGGTCCCCGCCCGAGTCATATCAAAAAGTGACTCAGGTCAGTTTATCACGTTTATCAAGTCTTTCGCCTTGAGTCCGAATTCGACTCTAAGTCATAGAAAAATGCGACCATGGACGCCCATAACGGTTCCTGATTTCTACTCCTGATTATGATATCATCTTTAGAATGAAAATAGCTGTAATTTAATTAGTGCTTAGTCTCTTGACCCAAACATATACAACAAACAATTTTAAAATATTCTCATTTACTCTATATTGATTAATCTTATCAAAAACAGCTTTTATAATTGTGAAGTACAAGTAGCTTCGAGGAAAGGAAAAGAATTGAAGACAACAATACTCTAAACGACAAAAGGGTTGAAAATCGTGCACTGAATCAGGTATACACCACACTGGTTGTAATTGATATATTTTTCCCTCCTTCTCAAATAGATCATATAAATACGGGGATATAAAGTTTTATTGTCAATCCAAGTTTTGAAGAGCAAAAACATTTTTTTTAAAAACGACATATAGGCGTATTCTCTATCTCCTCTCTTTCTGTCACAATCACAATTGATTATAACTGGTTATTCAGTTTATGAGCCTTCTAGTAGATATTTTTCTTATACGCATTATCTCAAGGTGGATAGTAACATCATAAACAGTAACTAAAGAAACTAAAATCAAACTAAAACTTTGACTTATTCAGCGCAAGAATTAATGCAAAAAATGGTTAAAGTAGATAAAAATGTATAAAATTTAGCAAATACTGGTGAAAACTGATATCTAGAATTCGTATTAGTCCGGCAAGTAGGGATAGCAACTAAATGATGAAACAAACGAAGACAAATTTAGAGAACTGGAAAACAAGACACAAGACAAAATATATTATTTATCCTGCAATGTCATGAAATAAGAGCATAATAAAAAAGTGAAAAGCCCATTGGAAACAGCCCATTGGAAACAGTCAGAAGAAAAGATCTTTGCACAGGACAGATTTTTACGGGGAATATATCTCGAAATGTGGAAATTCGAACCAGAAAAATCGACATTTTTCTTTAAAAAATTGTTTCGATAATAGGTTGAAAAACGTCATTCTGACCACAGATAATTTCCCAGTAGAATTAACACGATAGGTGTCTAAAATAAAATTAAATATACAAGAAAATAGGCGATTAAAAATAAATAAGAAATGAAGTCGTTGTGAAAAACATTATTTTTATCAATACTGAAGCTAATTTTTGTTTTCCATTGATCAAATTCACACACATAAACTATACGTTTTGTTTATATCTCAGCTTTTAATAGCATTATTCTGTGTTCATTTCAGACTTGAACAACGAGCGTGAACAAAACAGAAAAAAAATGGACGATGAAGAAGCGCCAATGATTTATGGTGTCGAATTTCAGGTAAAATTTCTATATTCTAATAAATAATATAGCAGTAGTCACATATATCTGCTCTTCATCCTTCTCTCTTAGGCTCGTTCTTTATGTGCTGTCGCACCCACGGAGGATGATACAATTCGTTTTTTAGTGGGTACACAATCATTAAGATTTAATAATCAAGTATGTAAGAGCATGCCTTTCATAAACGCTTAACAATTTTTTATTTCTTTTTCTAGGTACATTATCTTGAATATGATGAAGAAAATCAATCATTATCAAAATCGATTTATTCTCATCGTGCTGGAGAAATATGGAAATTACAAGCTGCACCAACAGATAAAAATATTTTTGCTACAATCTATAATAATGGTAAAATCTGTTTTTCATTAGATAAAAACTAAATTCTTCTTCTTCATTTCATTTTAGTTCAAGACACATCTGTCGTTCAAAAATGTTCAGTTTGGGAAATACCGCAACAAACAAGTGCAGGTGGAACAACAATAGATGATTCTCAAATTCATCAACCACTACAGAAACGTTTCGATCTTCAAATACCAAATGCAACACCGACAAATGTCGTTGAGTAAGAATGAAATAAACTTTAAAATTTTCTACCACCAACTATAATCTTCTCACTCTCTCTCTAACTCAACAGTGTAGCCTGGGAACCAAATAATTCATCTGGAGATCGAATGGCTACAATTAATGAAACAAATTTAACCATATGGAATATTCAACAGGACGCGCCAGAAGTAGAAATTTACGATGCATACTCGAAATGTTATTCTCTATATATTATTTTTAGATTGTATCTACCGGAACAGTGGACAGTAAAAGTTCGTTAAAATTTTATTGTTGTCGTTGGAATCCTCATCAAGGTACTCAACAAATATCGACATCAATTGGTCCAAATATTCGTGGTTGGGATTTAAGAACAATGAAGTAAGACACAGACGATAAGAGATATACAAGATAAAATATATTCTTTTTGCTATTTAGAGTTAGTTATCAAATTGATTCAGCTCATCCTCCATTTGTACGTGATATTGACTATAATCCAAATCGTCAATATTATATAATGACATGTGGAGATGATTGTAAAGTGAAATTTTGGGATTTAAGGAAGACAACCGAATGTTTAAAAGTTCTTAATGAACATTCACACTGGTAAGTTACTTCCTACCAAGTTGTAATACCGAAGGACAAGGTACGTTTCTGGTCAAGTAGACTAAATGGAGTAATACAGAAATCAATGATTAGAGGTTCGAATCTCCAAGTTAGCAAACGAAAAAAAAAAGGAACAGGTGATGATAAAAAAATACTAGTAACCAATAAAAAATAATGTTGAATCGTATGCTACCTTGTCTGATGTTCCTTTTCCTTAGATTGAGCTAGAAAAGATATCAAAACTGTAACGAAATAATAATAATAATTTTGTATTTCTTCTCTTACTAAGGCACTCGTTTTCGTACATTCATTATACAACGCTGCCACTGACATCATCTAATTTTTAGGGTTTGGTCAGCTCGCTATAATCACTTTCATGATCAATTAATCGTTACATCAAGTAGTGATACACGTGTCATGCTATTTAATATTTCAAGTTTATCATCTGAACCTTATGGAAGTTTAGCATCATCAAATGACGTACAAGATGAAAGCGACGCAAAGTAATGTTTTCTCGTATGTACTGACAATTGTATTTTTAAATAGCTTTCTTTCCACAATTTTAGAGACACGCAAATAGTACCAACAGATGATGAAAAAGAAGATGATCGATTATTGAAAATTTATGAAGAACATGAAGAAAGTGTATATTTAGCTGAGTGGTCATCGAATGATCCATGGCTATTAGCATCACTAAGCTATGATGGACGTTTAATATTAAATCGTGTACCAAAAAATGAAAAATTCAAAATATTACTAAGATGTCCAACTTAAATCAAATTAAAAAAAATGATTGTTGTTATTTTTGTTATTTTTTTCTGTATAAATATTTATTAAATAAAAAATATTTACAAAAATCAAAAAAAAAAAACGTAGTACAAACCAAAGCACAAATGGATATATGAAAAGAAAAAATCCTGTTCCCATTTTGTTAGTGAAAGGCACATATCATGTTATTCTACTAGTCATGTAACAGTATTTGGCATTTGATCGATAGGAGAGGGGGAACGTTAATTCAAAGAATTATTAAGCTAGCGTGCAATACTTTCGAGAAACGAAGTATCTACGCTAGCATAGTCAAAAACATAATCAAAAACAAAACAAAAAACGTTCATTTCTACTGTGTCAACGACTGAATCAATGATGTTAAATCAAAATTTGATCCTGGATGATTATTATGCCCCGCTGTTGTTGAAGGTAGTGTTGGAAGAAGAGAATAAGCTGTTCGACTTAGTGACTGATCTGTTTCATTTGAAAATAAATCATAAGCGTATTGTGAGTAATCATGTAATTCTTTTCGACATGATAAATTCTAAATGAGTAAAAATGCGATATTGATATTATATTATTTAAAAATGGAAAAGTTATACTAACCTGGAAATGTATGATTAATTGTTCTTGATTATTAGAAAATTTTTTATATATCTTATCACAAACAGGTATTAATTTTGCCAATGGTAGTTGAGGATTCAATAACTGATCAGTGATACTAAAACGTAGAACATGATGGAAAAGTTTGTAAAACCAGAGTAAATCAGGCTTGTTAATTTACTTCTGATCCGAATTCACTGATAATGGTTTTATTTTTGCTATTTCACTTGCAAATTCATCATAAATAGAAGAAAAACTTTGGTTAATAACATGTGTTAAGACTTGCTGAAATGTTTCACTAAAAGATTAAACAACAGACTCTTGTTTATATTTAAAAGATTATTCAATGTAATCTACCTTTCAATCATTTCAATACATTCGAGTTCAAATTGTTGTTGGATATTGAATAGAGATGGTCGTGGACGATGGTTTCGAGTTGTGAAAAATGAATTTGTCTACAATAGAAGATAAAACATTGGTTAAGAAACGAGAAAATAAGAATATGCATGTCACGCACGTTAGTTAATGAATATGGTAGCATTTCGCTGGGCTGAGACAACTGAGTTGGCTGTCCTCCTGGTAATGATGATGATCGAACATATTTCATAAATGGATGAATACTAGGTTGTTGTTGTTGTCTTGAATGCATGACTGTTGACTTTTTCTCAAGATGATGACGAATTTCATTGCAATACCATATCACATCCTGAATATCCAACATTTGTTGCAGGGGTATTCTACATGAGAGAAAAACATTTATTTTTATTTCCAAATAAATTTTATGACTAACCGTGAAAAAATTAACTTTGTCGCTTTTCGAACATCTTCAATTAAGAAATTCAATCCTAAACAAGAATGAGTTAACAGTTATGCAATTTGACTAGAAGACAAACTCAACTTACCATCGACTGTAGCATAACGAATAACATCGAGACATGCTAGTTGAATGTCATGTGATATAATGGAATGATTTTGCGATGACTAAAAAACACAAATCTTTCCATTATTTTCTAAATATTGGATAACTACCTACCTCTGCGTACGATGATTTTGCTGTTGTGGCTGATAATGGTGTCTGTTGTTGCTGTTGTGATTGTGAATATAATCTTCCACTTAGAGCACTTACAACCAATTCGGTTAATGATAATATAAAACTTGAACTGTAAGAAAAAGTAATTAAACGAGAAAAACCTAAAAAAATATTCTTTATACTCAACCACATGACTTGATTAGTTTTTTCAAAAAATCTTACATTCAATACGTAGTTGTTCCCATAATTCACGTTTTGTTGTTGAACTGAAAATCAAAACGATTGATTATTCTACACATTCTTCTCTTAACACAGAATCTTTAAAGTTTATAACTTACTCAGATGTAATTGATAATTGTTGAAGTAGTGTTTCACATTCAAACGTCTGATTAAGATTAATACACACTTGTGAAAATATATCAGCACCTTATTTGTAACAAAAAAAAAATTAAATTTTAAATTAATCATTTACAAATGCGCGCTTGTTCTTACCTGTTTTCAAAGATAGATCACGATTATGAGTATAATACAATTGTTTTTTCCAATCTAGTACCATTTTTTCTTGTTCATTCAACATAGACTGTAGTTTTGTATTCATAAATCGAAAAGCTGCATAACCACCTTGACAAACACAAATAGAGAGACATATGAAAGAAGACAGAAAGATTAAGACGTTAAAATAGCACGAATTATACCACCAGTTAACAGTGAGATAAAAAATAATTTTTTGCGATGACGTTTCAATAATTGCCATAGTGCACCGACAACCATGTTTAAAACTGTCTAAAATAAAATAGGTGAATTATTTGCCGTTTCAGACTATACTGTTATTTATAGCTGCGATATAGAATAGAAGTAGACCACTAGTGGTTTGATAATTCAACGTTTCTCATCTTCATCAGTATAAAAAACAATAATGTCATAAAAGCTAACATAGTCTCGAGCTTCTTTATCCACTAGATAAGTGTTTCGTCAACTAAAGAAAGAACATATAAAAATACTAAAATTGAACTGAAGGAATTAAAATTGTATAAGGTGTCGAATATAAGTAGCGTCTCATGTTGTTTTGATATTACTTTTGCAAGCAGGTAGAAGTGCGAGTGAGTAGTAGTTTCCAAAGGAATAACGAATCCGCTTCTCAACTACACTACAAAAACCATGTGAGAAATATTTTGTGTAACTCCTCTACCTGCCGATCTGAAGTAGAGTTTTAGTTTTATACTCAAATCCTTAGCGATTACACTAACTTCCCCCCTTCCCCTCCTCCCCGCTACAGAAGATCTCCACATGATAGTAGAGAATGTCCAAAAATGGTACTATAGAACGGGCGACCAATTGTATTCCATAAAGTTTTATAAAATTTGTTCGCGAGAACAAACCACTATCTATGCCACCGGAGGAGTTACACATTTCAGCTTCGATAGGGACTATTTTATACTAAATCTTAGATCTACTAATCTCTAACTTTTTGAGCTCAAATTTTTAGCATAGAATAGTTGGATGATAACCTTTCACCCCTGTAAGTTTCATAAAAATCAGTTGTACAATAAAAAAAGTTTTTTCCTCACAGAGGAGGGGCCCTAACTACACACAATTTTCTATCGTCAATCATTTTCTTTTAAACCAATTTTTTAGTTAATTATAGATCTGTATGTGAGAACAATCGACAACAAATTTCCGAAATAAATAACAACAAAAACAAATAATTAACAAATCAACAAAAATAAATTTGAACTTTTATGCAATAACAATAACAACAAAAAATAAGTAATCACACACGCATATTAGCACAAACAGACCCTCGAGCCAACTATCACTCGATGATCATATATATATCGTACGAATCACAAGAAACCATAGCTTATTCATCACAACAATTTTCCAACTATCTACTATAAAATGAATTTTGCATGTTGAAAAGAGACGAAATTCAAGTGTAACGCAAAATTTAGAAATCAATGAACAAGCATTGTAGCAGATTAAAAATAACTGTATCTTTAACAGAAAAAAATGAAAAAAAAATAAAACAAACACAAAATCTCTATGAATCAGTGACATAAAAAAGCGGATATTCTCCTGAGACCAACGAGCCCATTTAAAAGGTTTAACAAAAAACAAATCGTAACAACAGAGAGCGATTTGTATTTTAGCTTTTGCTTGATAAAAAGTTAAAAATGAATGTTTAAATAATTATGAGATAATTTCGCCGTAAAGTGAAAACTTTTGTTCATATGTTAAAGCTGAACACGTCAAAAGTGAATAATTTTTATTTGTTAAATCGACAATTGGTAATTTTTTCTTTGTTTTCGAATAAAATTTTAAATGATCATTAAGGCTTTTGTACAAATTCGTTTGTTCGTCTGTCATTTTAGTCTTAAAAGAAAAGGTTAGTAGATGAAAAACGTATGGTCTTCACTGCGTCATGTGAGACACTTTTAGAAGTGGCATACAAAAAGCGTCCAAAAATGTTACCGCAGTGTGCTAAAAGCATGCTAGAAATGCGTCAGTGGCACAGTAAAAGTATGCCAGTAGCACATAAAAAGCATACTTTCGATACACTTTTTCAATGTCATTGGCACAATTTAAGTGTGCTTTTTCTAAAAATATGCCTTTTCGGGACAGTGTTATTATTCTAAGCATTATCCTTCATATATTCACTGGAAGATATGTTTCTTACCGTAAAAAATATTTTATCATGTTTTAATGTTTTCATTGCACTTAATAAAAGATAATATTCTAAATTTTCTTCCTCTTCATGTTTCGATTTACAGCATTCTAATGATCCAACATCAATTGGATGAGCTTCAGTATTAAAGATATAACTGGTTTCAAGAAAACATGAGCCTAAACAACCAAATCTAAAGTAAGGCATTCTTTCTTGATGATCATTTAAAAACGTAATTTTCGTTTTAATATCATGAGTGTGAAGTAAAGAATTACTAACCTGTTGGTGTCTGATGTTTGATACTGTACAATCCATTATTATGCAAAAAATTATCCTCATCGAATATTAAATACAAGTATTTAATTGTTTCTGCAAGAAAAAATGATTCCATGCGATTATCAAGTTGATGATCTTTTACATTTTTCAACTTAAATGAGAGAAATATAAATAAAATTAGCTAATTGATCTGTATTTTCAAGAGAAATAAATTACCGATGTATAACCACACGATGTTTTGCAACATGATTCAATTGCTTCAAATATATCAGCAGCCATGAATAATAGTTGATCATCATTCGTTGCTTTATATACGTACATCAAGGATTCAATATGTTCTAAAAAACAAGATCATTTGATTAGAAGGAAGCTCTAAATATTTCTTTTCAGTTTTTCTTACCCGGTCTTAACGGATACCCTTCTCGATTTTGCACTGGTTCTTGTGTAACTAAATTATAATATTCTGGCATGGCACCGTACTTTCTCCACAGTGTATGATAAGAATATAAAGTTTTTATTGCACGATTAATATCACCCATTAAAACCTGAAAGAAGAACGGACAGTTCTAGTATTCTCCTTAAATAGAAAGCTTCCTTATTGATCTAGATGCAATTAAACGTAGTGTACTATATATGTGTGCCATATTTGATTTGATGTACTATATATGATCTTCAAAAATTAACTCTACCGAGATAGTGTCATGTATCTTGTACCAGCAGTCCTGGATAAAATGCGTCCAATGCTTGAAACATGGGCAATGTTTTTCGGCCTTGATCACTGTGTGCATAAACATACCATCCATCTGAATCAGACATGTACTTTTCTATTGCAGCAGCAAATTCTACAAAGAAAATTTGTTAAGAATTATAGTAACTGTTCTATCTACGCTCTCAAGTTTGTTTCAGGACATTACACTCACCATTCATCATTTGCATTAGACTTGGCTCTTGTAACAAAATTGCTCCTTTAACAAGATATTCAAAATAGGAATCAACACCCGATCCAATTGTGCAATCAAGTGCTGTCCATTCCCCAGTCTGTACATTGATATGGTTTCCGACAAGATCAATCGATGATCGTCGCTGCCATACATTTTGTAAAGATTTCAAAGCTGTTCGTTCAAATATAGGATCATTTGTTAAACGAGATAACGTTGAAAATTCAATTAGAAATGTGCCCACACCAGCTGTGCACGTCTCGTTTGTTTCATCAGGTGGTACTCCCCAAAAAAGATTTACTGTGCCATACGGCATACCCGTCATTGTATCAAAAGCTGAAATATCAAATAATTATTCTTTAATGAAAGAAAGTAATATGAGGTAATTGTTCATGTGCTACCTGGCAATAATTTTCTTGCTAGTGAAGCAGCCAAATCAAGCAAAGGGCCAGTACATGGCCAAGTCGAATTCACTTTAACATTCATACGTTTAGCAAGTAAATGCGCTGATAGCAAACCTCCAATAACTAGAATGAATGTAAATTATGCATAAGATGAAAGATAATCAATCTTTCATGATTTCTCTTCGATTTATTTAAAACTAAGCTGCAGAAAATCAGACAAACCTCTTATATTCGTTTCAAATACTGATACATTAATGTCTCTTTCAATGTCAATATTTTTCATTAAATCATAAACACGTTGAAATTCAGTAAAATTATTCAACACGGCTAATGTATCCAGTGCGTCAACTAATGATAATGAATAACTAGATGAAAGGAAGAAAAGTACAGTAAGTGTAAATATCTTAAAGTAGATATCGTACCCTCCCCAGGTATCCATACCATCACACGTCACCGGTCTCAATTCATCATATGGATAACTGTACTTAAGATAACCATCGTACGCATGATAAAACATTTGCTTTACACGATTTCTAAAGAGAAGATACAAACCACATTGATCAAATGTACGAACTAACCAAATATACGAAAAGCTTTGCAACTTGTTAAGTATACTAGCGTACCACTCTCTACCTGAGTCATCGAATAGCAAGCGAAATTAATAAACATGTGATTATACTTGTAGTATTGTCGTTTTTCTATAGTAAAATGACCTTCATTTGCTAAACCAGCGGAAAATAGCCAGCACATTGTTATAAAAAATCGAAATTCACAAAAAAGCATTTGCCAGAATTGTCTTTGGAGTTCTTCTACTATACATAACGGAAAATAAATAACATAACGAGTTCTTATTGAGTAAAAATCAAATGTTCTCTTATAGCATTTTTATCTAGAAAGCAAAAAACAACAATGTCGATAGAAATCGTAGAATTAGTGAGGATCAATTTAAAAGTCCTTTGTAGCTTCTTTCTTGTAACTAATTTACCAAACATAAGATTTCTCATTAGCTGAAAGGAAGAAAAGCAAATCTAGGTGAAGGATACCTATCTGACAGTATTTTTGAACTACCGTTGTTGACTGAAAAAGATACAGTACTACTGAATGCTAGTTTTCAAAGCTTTTCACCTTCCTAATCACAAATCAGATCGCTCTTATTATTTTTCGAACGTCATTTCACTACGTTGCAGAAAGAGTATTTGAAAAATACGCGAATACGTAGTTAGTAACAGTTCCGGTTAAGATCTAATACATCCAATAGATAGAATTCGTCGAGTTGGTTACACTAACGTCGAATATATACATAATTTCATAAATATAAACGTAATCCTGCATTGAGTCCCGATTAACAGCGAGTATTAAGTATCCATCTGAATATTATTTGATGGTAGTATAACCAACTCTCCATTAGCGTACTTTCCAGAAAACAAAATTAGGTTAATCCAAATATTTTATTGTTTCATTTTTGTTTCAATTTGCGTGCATCAAGTTAATCATATTATTTGACAGCACGTTACAAATTATTGAAATTACAATGAAAAAATCACGAGAGAACATGCAAGTCAATAAAATGACACAAATAAGAGAAAAACAATACAAAAATTCAAAAATGAGACTTTCAATCGTATTTATTTACCAAACGTTTTAAATGACGAGCTTTGCGGTCAGATTATTTGTTTTATATCTTCCTAATAAAATAAAATTGAATCGCTAGAAAATTATCTTTAATTACCTTTACTTCACCATTAACATTTTTCTAGCTGAAGACGGTAATCGTCCTGTTTTATGTACATCGTTCATCGTTCCAGTAGATTAAATTGAGAATACCCAAAATATTGCTATCCAATAATATATCCAATAATATTGGATAGCGTATTTACATAATGTAAATACGATTTATGACAAAGGAGACGATCAAAGAAACGAAGAAAGAGACGGACAGGAAAAAACAGACGACTAAATTCACCAATCAATTACTGAACGTGTCCTCTACTCAAAACTAAGTCCCTAGATGGCATTTTATATTAGAGACAGTACTGTGATATATCTCTAGATTATTCGAAGCCTTTAGAGGTGGCATCAATCACAGTCGTTCCTCCCCTAATCCTACTATCAGTACATAAGACCGTCCCGAAGCAAAAAATTCCATATAGTCTATAGGGTACCCAAATGCGACTCAGCGCTTATATATTACTGTATTTTACAAAGTGTAGGGTATAGAGGCAGAGAATAGAAAGTTATTGGCTCATACCGAAAAAAGTTTTATCATGTTCCTAACGTAAAGGCTCAATGATCATCTTCATGGCGAAATGGAGAGGAAAACACGTGTAGAGAATTTTTGAACGCCATTAGATTCGTATATAGATAACTCAATCAAAATAGTGATGTTACTCATTTATAAATTGCTAGTGGAAGTAGGTTGTTTTCTGCTAGCCGTCAAAGATAGCCGTCAGAAGTTACTTTCTACGTCTTTTCATGTAGAAAGTTGCTCCTGACGGATATCTTTCACGGCTAGCGGAAAACAACCGTGAAACTAAAATCAAACAAGTTTGTCTCCTTTTAGGATTTTCTTTGAGCTAGCATTGCATCTAAAAAGTCGCTTTGTAAAACTACAACAGTGCTTAATGGGCATAATGTGATGCAATGGTCTAATAAATGTTGTGATTCCGCTTGGAGTTTACTTAAGAGATTTTTTGGCGATGGAAATATTTTTTTGAGAGAGTTTAGTTTTCAGTGAATAATTGTGATCGCTGACCTTGTTCACATGCACATTTTGTGATTTGTCCTACTGAAGAATCACATACAGACGATGTTTTCATAAAATTTAGATGTTTTCAATGTGTTGCTAAGAGTAATGGGTAATGAGTCGTCAAAAAATGTTAACAAGACTTCTATTAAAAACCGTACCTTAATTCCTCTGACTGAGCAATCTTGTTGGCAATTATTCAATGGTGTCAACGAACAACGTGCTAGTGATCCAACAAAAACATCAAAAGCAATTTCCATATTTATTTCAAAACAACAATTCTTAACCGAATGTCGACGTTCAATACAGGTAGGATATACTTTTATTCCATTACTCTACCTTAATATGTACTTTATCTTCTAATTTAGTTTCTGAAAACTATTCGACATCCAAATATTCTTAAATTTTTATTAAGTTTCAAGCAACAAGTTGATAATGATAGTTTTATAAGTGAATGTGTTCATCCATTAAATAGTAAATTAAAATTATTAAATACAACAAGATTATGCTTAGGTTTACATCAAATAGCAAATGCACTCGAATTTTTACATGATAAAGTAAATTCACCTCACTTTTCCCGATTACAAAGAACAATAGACTAGTGTTGAATTTAATTGTATTCTACTCTCTTGCTTTTGAAGGCATCAATTAGTCACAATAATGTTTATTTACAATCGTTATTTGTGTCGTTGAATGGCAATTGGAAATTATCAAACTTTGAATGTGCATGTCGTTATGATTCGTTGACAAAGGAGTATCTAAATTCATTGAAACTAATTCGCTTTGAAGATTGTATAGCACCAGAAGAGAACGAAGTAAATTTCATATACTTAAAAAGTTATCGCCAATTTAAATTTTTGTTTTTGTTTTAGTCAACTCCATTAGAATCACAATATTATTATGCTATCGATAGTTATGGTTTTGGAACATTCATCGATTATTTATTAACAATAATTAAAGTTGATGGTACATACTGATTAAAACGTGCTAATCAGTATGTTATAAGATCAGTTTTATTTTCTTTAGGTGCATTGAATAAAACACTGACTGAATTGAAAACATCATTAGTCGAGGAAGATCCTAGTCAAAGGCCTACTTGTTCAATGCTACTTCGATCATCATTATTTGAGTTAGTCGAATGCAATTTTGCATCTATGGAAAGATAAATATGATGTTCTCTACTTTCTATTGATAGGAGTAATTATATCAAAGTTGTTGACTTACTTGATCGTTTACCAATTGTGGAAGAAGGCAATTTGTCAAATGCAGTCGAGTTAGTAGTAAGAAATACCTTCATAATCAATTTGATTGTTCTTGGCGTTGAGGACTGTAAGAGTTTAGCTAAATGCAGAAAATTGCTTTACAGGCAAGATGCTCTTCTTTATATTAATCTGAAAATTAAAACGGTATCGTTAGTACTTCGATTATCTGAACCCATTTTCTACCAAGACTGCTACTCTCAGATATATAATCATTTTATACATTGACTGCTATATCTTTGCTCTTTTCATTTTAGTTCAATATCGTCGGCAATTGAACAGTTAGATGTTGATTGTTTTAATGAATTATTAATTAATCGTCTATTATCGCCATTTCTGTTTCTCTGTCCGATCACTCGACAAAGAATAATTCCAAGAATTTTAAAACCAAAACATCATGATGAAAACGAGCAAAACGCAATCATTCCATTTAAAAAATATAAAGAATATGCTCTACCATTAATTGTTGATCTATTTTCTTATCATCTTGCTTGTATTAGGGAAACATTATTAGAACATTTCACGTTTTATTCACATTTAATTGATCAAACAACGTTGACAGCAACTGTTCTACCACAAGTACGAGCACTTCTGAAACTTGTTTCAAGACATTAAGTAGTTTTCATTTTTTTTTCTGTTAGCTTGTCTATGGATTAAAAGATACAAATGATAATATTTGTACATTAACATTACTTGCATTAGCATCACTGATACCTGTCTTAGGAAGTGCAACGGTTGTTGGTGGTACAAGATTACAAATTTTTATGGATAAACCACCAAAAGAGGTAAATGAAAAGATTTATACAGAGTGATCTTACATCTCCGACGTACTATGATAGTTTTTGCTATTAAAGAGAAAATATTTTATTCTTTGTTTATAGAAAATGGAAATGTCATCTACACAAAAATCAATGTCAACAATCGATATATCAAAAATAATCGAGAATACAACATTAAATCAATCAAAGTAACAACAAATCTTTTACATCGCACATACTAGGTTGTAGTTTATAAATACTTTTCTGTTTTAGATTTACTCGAACAAAACAAAATGGAACAAAAGAAAAACATTTTCCAATCAACAATAATCAAACGTCATTACTGAACGAGTTAGATAAATCGCCGACTATTGCAACATCTCATAATCCTACTGAAGAATCTCAACCAATTACAGATAGCGAAGAACCTATTGTCAAAGAAAATGTAATTAAAAATGGTGAAATGGAGAATGATGAAGATGATGGAGAATGGAGTGAATGGGAACAACCGCAAGAAAACGATGATGAATCGCCACAACAACCCACTGTATTAAGTACTATAAAAAATGATTACTCGTTAACATTAGATCCAATAGTAATCTTGCCTGTGAAAGGTATTAATAGTATGAATAATTTGCAGTTTAACATTCTAAATGCGTGTATTTATTTAATCTGTTAAGATAATTTATTGAAAAATAGTCGTATTCAACGAAAATGGGATCCAAATGCTCCATTAGGTAGTGATTATGAAATAAAATCAATTAATAAAAAGAAGAGTTCCACTAGTGATGATACAAATCAGATGATGTCATCAATCAATGATGATGATTTATTTAGAGAAATGAATTTAATTCCAAATGTTCAAACAAAAGAATTATTAGGACAGTTAGAAACAATGTTTAATATTCAAAATAACGGTACAGAACAAATAGCTTCTACAACAATAATTACGCCAGTAATGAACAATGGTTATTCGAAAAAATTTGTTAT